GGATGTTTATTGATCTCTGATATCTGTGACCAACCAGGCTTAAGTTCACCCTTAGTGTTTCTAGAAACAACTTGAATATTAAGATAAAATGTTAAATTAGACACAGAGGCTACAGTAAGTTCTCTGTCCTCAAGAGGGAGCCATAATATTTCTCTCTTAAACTGCAGATAGTTGTCAATTGTCCTGTAATGATCTCTTCCCTTTTTATGTTTTCTCTGGTGCACGCAGGTTGTAAAGTCCCATAATAAGCAGACAGCAGCCAGACAGAGGATCAAAAGAACAGTTTCTTGGAATATTGATCCACTAATCTATAGTAATGGGCTTCCTATACACGTAGATTCGTGCAGCTCTAGCCAGATACACGACCTGAAATGGGGTTATACTGTGATGTGATTCAGCAATACACTCAAGAAAGAAAGCAGCTACTATTTATACAATATTAAGAAATGGTTGAAAATACAAAAAAGCATTTACATTCAGTTAACATTGTTGTCATAATTTAACACAAATACAATATTTTATGTAGATTAATAATGACTCTAGATGGTCTCTAAACAGTGAAAACATTTTAAAAGTCAAATTACTATCATGTTAATTTCAACTTAATACACAATGCATATCACAGTTTCAAAGATACATTATGCTTACAGACTTAAAAAATACACATTAGACAAAAACCAGGCCACTTTAATCTCTCTTGTATTGCCACTATTTTTAGATGAACTAAATCTATTGGTCCAGAGAGAATACAAAGGAATCTCAAGTCTTGGCATTATTAAATCGGTTTTCAGTTTAATAGTACAAAAAAAGTTAAATAATATATCATGTTGCTTGGCACATACAGGGTGTAATGTACCATTTGACTTCACTGCAGGTTTGCACTATCCAAACTATCACGCCCATCTACAAGACTTGACAGTATCCTTAGGCAAAATGTCTCGGTGTATATTTTGTATTTCTGTGGTTTTTGGAGGCTGGATAAACCATGAACGACGTAGAAACTCTAAATAGACAGTAACCATGGAAAACCTGACAGGACTCGCTCCTGAGAAAGAGAGTGAGAGTTACCCCAGAGGCTGCCAGGCGGAACAGAGCAAAGGGACTGTTTCAGAATCAAGTTGTTCACATCTGTATTTCTGACAGTTGCTGGACTATAACTGCACTGTGGACAATGAGGGAGGTTCTGCAGGCAGAGAGGGACTTCAGAGCTCACCTGGTGAGCCTCATGTGCTGCTTAGGTCGGTACTGATTTGAATTACTTTGGGCTGTAGCCTCCTAGCATCATTACTGAAGAGTAAGAAAGGCTACTGTGTTGTAGTCTTGCACTGAGTCATACATGTGGTCAGATGTTGTTGCTTTGTAGCTGTAGTACTTTGGTTTAGGATGTCTAAATAAAATGGTTAAGCTGAGTTGATGCTCTGGTGCTTTCAAATGAATTGCTGTGTTCATGGTATTCTATCTTTGGTTTATATTGTATTTTGGGTTACAATGGGTTTTTGCATTTTGAGAGCACTTTACATCCAGTAAAGAATTCTGTTAACATAAAAATTTAACTTGTTGTAGTGTGCAAATTGTTTACGTAAAATGAGTTGACAATCAACAAATAGTTGTTAAGGAGTGGAACCAGAATCAGCCTTTGGCCTCATTCTACTTCTTCTCAAACATATTGTGACTTGTTGAATGTTTTAGATTATTGTTTTTGTTCCTAATATTTGAGACAAATACATTTCAGATGTGGGTGAAGAAGAAAATGGAAAAAATATTAGTTTGGAAGTCAATGGGAAGCATTGAACTTTGAGTTGACTTTTTCTGGGCGCATTTTTTTTTTTTTTACTTTAGTGCTGTCTTGTATAAATACATCACTTGTATGGCTATTTTAAGTGAAAAACATAATGTAACACAATGTCTTTTTCAACATTTTTAGTGCTTAGTGCTTTTATTGCGTAAATATGATCATCAGTGGGTGACACTATGTGTCTTTTCTGGTGGAGGGTCCACAGCCAGCTTGTCTACATAGAGATTCTATTGTGTTGAATGCTCCATAGTATGGCATTAAAAATATCCAGACAAGCTGGTGACACTTAGGCCAAGTTAGAATAAATGTCGTCCTATAACAAACATATCCATCTTGAATAAATGCAAGATGGATACATTTATTATTTAATGCCATACTGTGGAACATTCCATGCAAAACAATAACATCTCCTTGGAGATAAGCAGGTAGTGGGTCCTCCACCAGAAAAGTTAGCGCATCTTTAAAATGTAACAAAACATTAATAATGTTGCACTAAAATTGAAAGTAATATCTCTGTGCGAATCACAAGAGCATAGAAGCCCAGTGTGTTGATGGTCGAATGCTTCGTTCAGTGTTTGTAACACATAATTTTTGTTTTCAACAGATGAAAGAGACAGAGTACAGAAGAAGACCTTCACAAAATGGATAAATCAACATCTGATGAAGGTATGATAATTATTGTTTTCACTAAAGGGTAGTGGAACTATGTCAAGGTTTTGTGTTTATTTATTCAGTAACTACATATTTCATGGTGGATTGAATATTACATTGCCTACATAAACAGAAGCCAGCATATAATATTTGCTTTTAAAACACTTAATTTTCTATGTTGGGTTTAGGCTTGCTCAGACTGCTTGCAGTTATTATTAAAGCAGATTAAGAGTGATATACCATGACATGTCATCACACTCTGCTGCTGCTACAAGTACATTTGTGTTGACTCAAGAAAAGTGTGAATCTTATCAACTCATCTATGTGAGCAATTAAGTGCACCATTTCATCTGAAAGACAGGATTCGGCTTGTGCATTTTAAAATCCCTGTGTAAACAAAACCATTTAAACTTTTAATCTTGTTATAAAAAGAATTAGTACAACAACATACGCCTTCAGATTAAGTATTTTATAATCACCTTTTATATTGTACAGGTTTATTGGTCTGTGTATGTTCATAGTGATAAAGATGATACAGTCAGGTCAATCTTTTACTTTAAGCGAGTGATACATTTCAGACATATTACTGAGATGTTACTCCTAGTTACAAATCCTTATTAGAATAGAGTATATTATATAGTAGAACTAAGAGTCATGTTTTTATCACCACCAATGAAACACTAAGATACTTAATTTCATCATTTAAGGTGCAATATGTATAACTTTTCAGTGAGGGATTTGCTACCTGCCTGTCTACATGGAGATGTTATTGCATTGTCTGATATGTATGGCATTAACCTAGCTATCTTACATTTATTCAGTGTACCCTGTATTGCTCAAAAACACTTTGAAAAACATGTATTCTTATTGTGCGTGTATCAGCCCTGTAACTCAGCCTGGTGGGGTCTGCTTCTATAGTTTAATGAGTTTAATGCCATACTGTGGAACATTCCGAAAATGACCAAATTATATAATTTATCTCTGGCTGTTGCCAATAAGTTCTTGTTCACACTGTGCAGCTGCATTCGACTAAAGGGGAAAAGTAGTAAATAGTGCTGGCAAAAGTTATTACACTATAAAATATCTCCATGTTATCTGATCCAAATTGCAATCACAAGACCACAAGCTAGTAATCGTAATCAGCTAATTTATATGTGTACAGGCAAATAAATGGCTTACTCACTCCTCACTCACCAGTATCGGTTCTACATAGGTTTCAAAATCATAGCACAAAAATTCATTAATCTTGAGGAAATGTAAAGGCCTTCACTCGCCCGTTGTATTTGAAGGTGCTGAGTAATAGTTGGTATCTGTCCGGCTGACCCAATAACACGAGGAGGGCACAGGTCTATTTTGGGCCCACAGCTGCGTCCACGCTCTGGGATTACAGTGAGAGAGCCTTGTGTGAAAGCAGGTCAATGAGAGGAGGACAGTGATTTTCGAGGTGCTATGTGGGGCATAAGGACCTGTCAGAGGATAGTCCACAGACACAGACACAGTGGGTAATGTGAAGGACTCCCCAAGTGCTCTCAGACAAGGCGTCAAATATAATTACCTCGCTCCAGTGACCTCTGACACACAAAAATACACATCCCAAATTAATTTTGAGATGCATAAATTCATAAGTTATGAGAGGTTCTCAATATTGCTTATACACTGCAATCATATTAGAGACATAACCTACCTTTTATTTATTTTTTTATTTATTCTACTCTTCAGACTAGACTTGTCATGATATCAATTTATCGTTCAATGTATGAAACCTGGAACACTATAGATTGGGGCTTGATATGTATCATGTGTACGATTTCTTTGTAAAAGTGGAAGATTTGGGGTATTTTTGTTATAATACAATAAAATTTGAGCTGTAAGTGAATTCAGTGGCTAATTATTGACCAATAATAGTACAGTTCTGTTATTTATAAGTTCAGCTCATGCCCTTTAATGATACTGTCTATATAAAAAAATATTTACAGGGATTATCCTGCTTTATTTTAATTGTATCAGTGGAATTAAGCAGATTAAATCAAAGTATATTTCTGTACAAATATATCGTGTTTCAAAATTTGTAATTGTGAAAGGCCTACTTCAGACTAATGGACTACTTAAGACTAAAATGGAGTTGTTGTTTCTTTGTAGGTCCGTAAGCACATAAATGACCTTTATGAAGACCTGCGAGATGGACATAACCTGATCTCACTGCTGGAGGTCCTGTCTGGAGACACACTGGTGAGTGACTGAAATCAGTCTTGTTTAGTAGATTAGACATACATTTAAACCTTATCACATTTTTTTGTTAAATCTGCTGTGCCAAGAAGGCTCGGCAAACACAATTAAACAAAAGCTAAGAAGTCCATTCTTTTGATATAGAAGAGGTTATGGGTGTGATTTGGAGGTCATACAGGTTGCAATACACAAAAAATGTGAACACAGATTTGACCAGGGATAACATTCAAGCAACCTAACATGCATACATTACATATTACTAAAGCTGGCTTCATCGCAGTTGTGCATTACATAATGGTGCATATAGAGCAGGGGTGTCAAACTCATTTTGGTCCGGGGGCCGTATCCAACCTACTTTTATCCCAAAGGGGCCTGATCAGAAAACTCATGGCATATAAACCCCAAAAATAACAATAAGTTCAAATATTTGTGCAGAGAAACACAAATCTATTACAGAAATCTTTTTTAATTGATGAACTCTCTCTTATTATAATATTATGAACAACTTGAAACTTTAAGAAAAATTCAATTTCAACACAATGTTTTAACATTAACTTGTATGCAAATAGGAATAAGTCAGTTTTTCTTGGAAAATCCTGCACTTGGCGTCCATTTTTCTCATTTTTGACATTTTGTTGATGAGGGTGTCAGAGTCAACAGTCAAAACGATCGTCCTTTAAGAGCATTTGGAAAGAGACAAGTCTTCATTTGTGCTGCTCTGGTGGGAGGGGCCACGCACAGAGGCGCTGGAGGCGCTGCCATGCTAAGTACCACAGAAAATTACCAATGTTTTAATAGAAAATATAATTTTAATATTTTAGTAGAAAATCACCCAAGGGCAACCTTAAAGGTCTTGGAGGGCCGGATCTGGCCCCCGGGCCTTATGTTTGACACCTGTGATATAGAGGGACACATTCAACTGCATGTACTCCTGAAGATCCCTGCTGTGCCCTCCCCCTGTGTAACTAACCTCCATCATCTTCATAGCTGTCTCTCTCTCTCTTCCTGTCTCTCTATCACTGCTCTCCTCCTCTCCTTCATTATGTTGTGTTCTCTCCATTGTCTGACTTCCTTTGATTTGCCCATTGTCTATCCCTATCTCCCCTCTTCCCCATGTTTTCCTTGTGATGATAAGCCAAGGGAGCGTGATTTTCTGAAGACGTTGCGGTTGGTGAGTGGGACAGACGCATGTGCGGTTGAGCAGCATGGAGACACAGTGGATGATGATAAGGGGGTACGTGTGGCACCCTCCACACCCCTACAACTAATACACCGCCTGTAGTGCTCACATAATGGGACACTTGTCTGGTAGTGCGGTGGTCCTACATACTAGATGAGTGTCAGTGATATTACTTTTCAGAGCTTCAGGTTGTATTTTTAGGCAAACTTTTATTTTGAAAACACAGAGAAGTAAAAAAAAAAAGCAAAAAAAAAAAAAAAAAAAGCTACTCTTTGTACAGGCTTATGACTTACCCGCTGAGTCATCTGTGCTCAGATTGCTTCAAAAATCCATGTTTGTTTCACATCTGATCATTTTATACATTTGTTTATTCATCATTTCTAAATGAAATTAGATGCTTTGATTGAAGATATTTCTGTTGCTTTGCCAGTATGAAGTAGAGCAGAGTCATTCATGTTCAGCTCTGTGATGGCTAATGCAGCTAGTACACTGCTGCTGTTTGGCCTGGCTAGTTCAGACATTGGACATCTCATTACTCTTTACATTATACATGATTTTATATTCACCGTAAATTACGTAAAATGGAAATGTAATAAATAGTCTGTAGAGGTAAATTATCAAACCACCTGTGTTGTTCACTGGTTTATATGTGTGAATCTAACTTCACAGGTCGCTGGGTAAGACTTAAAGAGCATGTCCAAAATGTTACTAACCATTTCCTCCTCCAATGAGAGACCCAGGATTCATGGCCCTGTACCTTCCTCTGTTCACAGCCTCGAGAACGAGGGAGGATGCGCTTCCACAGACTCCAGAATGTACAAATTGCACTGGACTATTTAAAGAGGCGGCAGGTGAGCATTACCACTCTGCAATTGGATTTTCTTAAAAGATGTATTCAGGAAACCCTCAGCTATAGCCTTCACAGTGTATGTAAGTCATTCTTAACCTAAATCCCACTTGTACTGGTTTTGGAGGAGCTCTCCCCTCCCCCACCACAGGGAGGCTGGATAAGGCCCACGGGTGGCACTGTAGCCAGATGTGACGTAACAGGCCAAGACAAAGGGCTCTCATATGAAACAAATGAGCTGCTGTCTTGTCTTAGCTATGGGGTTTCCTTGTTGTAATATTATAAAAAATATTTGTTTAGGATGAAGCTGTGAATATCTGATCATAAATTACAACTGAGTCAACAAGAATGTATTTGATCCAATCTCATACATCTTAAGTAATCTTAACTGATATGAAAAATATCTTACTTATCTTAGGATACTGTCACAGTACAGTGACAGAACGTTTTTATATGCGTTTAATGAGCCATAAATAACATTTGATCCTAATAATCTTAATAATCCTAATAATCTTACTGTTGCCTCTGTAAATGTTGTCATGGTGGCTATTGCTCCATCTTGTGGTCAGCATCAGAAATTAATCATATATTTAACAGAATTTAGAAATTAAATATGCATGTTTTGTAATATGTAATATTATTTGCAATATAATTATTATTGTATTCTAATAAAAAAATATATATATTTTGCCAGGTCAAACTTGTAAATATAAGAAATGATGACATCACAGACGGTAACCCCAAACTGACGCTGGGGTTAATATGGACCATAATTCTGCACTTTCAGGTGAGAACCACTCTGCAACAGCTTGATCAATGAAGGGAAGTTTTTTTTGTTTGTTTTTTTTTAAATTTCATTATGGCTTTCAAATAATCACTGGTACAAATGTAATTCTGCTTCAAACTTGTTAAAATCACTTGTACCCAGTATATACCACAGTATCACAGTATGTGTGACTGTACTAGACAGTGCAAGCTGCTAGTTTATTATGTTCTTTGAAGTTATATTTAGGTTAATGTCACATGTTTCTGCCATGGCGGTTTCATAATGGAGTTTCTACTTTTAGCCACAAGGGGTCAAAGCTGCACCACATAAGTGCACGGATGACATAAGGGTTTGATCACATAATTTGAAGTGAGACGGGGCGTTGTAAAGCAGGTTTTGACTGCTTAAGTTTTACGTATATCTGAATTTGTGTTTGGGACAGATTTGAACAGAAAATTTGTTTATAGTATATTTGATTGGCACAGCTTTTTGTTCTGATCATGTATTTTAATGTTGCAGTGCTGATAGTAGATCTCATTCAAGTGAAATTGTCGTGACTGTACCATTTATACCACAATTCTTATGTCCTGTAAAATGTCTGTAACATTCGTAAACTTGATGCTGTTTTCTCATTCTACAGTTGCTATGAGAGGGCGCTGTTTGAGTATTTCTGCCTATATTTGGCTCATTGCTGGCTGTGATATAATAATGAATGTCAGATGGAGCTAATATAATTTAGCCTGGACTGGGACGCTGACAGGTAGCGTTGGTGCACACCTGCCGCTGTCTGTCTCACGCAAACCCTGCAGCTCTTAATGGGGCAGCACTGGGCCTGTTTCATCATGACATTTGGAGGAGAGGCACTTCAGCACAAATATGCTGCTCTGTCCACGTTGGCTTTTTATAAGATCAGATCTGCCTTGACAGAATGACAAGCCATTATGTTACCTGCTTTATATGAAGAGCTGTGCCTAAGGTGCTAAGAAAGACTAGTACAGTTCAGTCAGAGGACACATACTGTTTTTACGTAGCTTAAGGCTCCTTCTATTACTAACAGTAGTCCAGTTATTATATTACCAGCCAGATATTGCAGGAAATCAGATTGTCAACATTGCTTTTGCTGCTTGGAACCTCCCCTTGCTTGTGACATTGTACTCCGAAGGGCTGGCTGAATGATGGGTCAAATGCTGGACAAGATAAGATGACCTTTATTTGTCCCACGGTGGGGAAATTGCAACGAAAGTTCAATAACAGCAAGACTTTAGACTTAAAGGTAGACGCAAAAACACAACACTGTGCCAGTAGGGTAAGACTATAAGGCTACAATAAGTGGCTATGACATAATGTGGTTATGTACAGTGCAGCATATGGGCAGTGTTCATGGTACAGTCTGACAGCAGTTGAAAGAAAAGACCTGTGGAAACTCTCCTTCACACAATGAGGGCAGATCAGTCTGTCACTGAAGCTTGGACTATAAAGTGTACAAATGCAAATACAAATGTTAATCTTTAATCGGCCCTGACAGAAGTAAAATGGTTTGTGGAATAGTGAGTACCAGAGGAATGTTTTTAGGAATGTTAGCAGTCTTGCTGATAGTGGTGTGTTTGCTTTTGGCTTGTTGCCACGTCAACCTGTTAGCTAGACCATTGCTTTAATGTAATTATGAATTATAATAGCATATATATTAATGTTTATGAACTTGGTAGTGGTCTGGGCCCTTATTATTTCCCCATGTTTGCTCAGTACTCACTTGATTTTGTAACCTTTTGGATTACTAGATTGTCACTGCTGTGTCATTTGTTTTCTGTCAATGTGACCTTGTGTGAAAAAACAATTAGTGGACAATTTTTTTCTGCTTCACCTGATCTGTCTCTTCAGATCATACACACTTTCTTATGTAATCAACAACAATAATAAGAACATATTTATAGAATCAAACCAATTTTCTTTATCCTTATTATTATAAATAATAATCCATATCTATTGCCTTATCAGATGCAATTGACTTTTAATGGTAGCGCCCATTTAGATAGTTACATGTAATGCTGCGTTCACACTTCACACACCACATTAAAATTGGGACTAAACTTGGATTTAAACCCAGACCTAAACCTGGGATTAGACATGACTAAAACAAAACAAAACCAAGTCTACATCAGGACTAAACTGGGCTAAAATCTGGACCAAACCAGGATAAGAGTGAATGCACCCTAGGTCACTCTAATTACTATTACCGACTTTCTGATCAGTATATGAAAGCTGGAATAATTTTTTGGTGGATCAATATTTATCGTGTGTACATTTTCTTTGTATTACTGGGAAATGTTTGGTTATATTTTGGCTATATGATAAGATTTAAACCATAAAAGGTGGAATAAATAATTTTTATGACTCATTACAGATGCTACAGATAGTACTTAAGTGTTTCGTTTCTATTTTCTATTGCTGTCAATTTTTGTGGTTTAAAACTATTCTTGGGTTATTGTGTCAGTGGCATAAATTAATATTATCTTAATATTATCATTTATTGTCTATATTTACTTCGGGAATATATTGCACTTCCTGACAGGCCTATTGCATCCTTATTTAGTACAAACCTCAGCCTAAGCTCCACCTATTGCATGTATTTTGGTTAACAGAAAGTGAATACGCAAAGTGAAAGCGTGTCTCTGTTGTGCTTATATTGTAAGTTTGTAAGCTATTGTATCCGGTTGGCACAGTGTCTGGACTGTATTAGCCAGCGCCAAATCTCCTGAGCCAATCTTTTATTACGGTATATTTTTACAGTGATAGGAGTGATCAGCCCAAACCCCACTATTTCCACTTGTCCTCCCCTCACCCTCAGATGTGACAGTGTACTATCTATTGATGTGTCGTCTAACTTCTAACTGGTGTGGCTACCCATATTTACACCAAGCCAGTTCCAAACAGGTCGGAGCACAAGCCTTTGTCATTCCTTCTCAGCTGTGAACTGTGAGCACGTGGGCTGTGTCTGCGTGTGTGCGTTTATGGTGTTTATGCTGGATTAGCAAAGTAGAGAAATGTTCCAAAGGTCAGAATGGATTCCGGTGTCAGGAGAGACCTAAGTGAGCGAGTGAGAAGCGTGTGAACAAGAGTAAGCTGAAGGAAACGTCAACTCTGCTCCTGACTGAAGTTTACGCCGCCAACCACGTCATTGCATTTTGTCACAGCGCCAGCCGACTGAACATGGTGGACTATCTTTGGGATAAAGGTTCTTTTGATAAACTATGGCTCACTGGGTATTAGCCTGAATCTACCTGCCACATGTTGGAAGAAGAAGAAGGTAGAAAGCTTCGACAGTTATGGGAAATGTATGTGGTTGTGTGCGTGTACCAAAGGAAGAAGCTTATGTGGATCCCAAAAAGGCTCCACTCAGTCCCGAATCCAAGGACTTGAAAGGGCGTCGGTACTTTCAGAGGAAAAAGAGAAAAACTGAAGACTTTGATCCAGTGGACTCTCCCAGGAGGGCAGTAAGTGACGCTAGCACTAATGGAGGTATCAGTAATGGTGTCAGGCCGCAGGATAATATTGAGGAGAGCTGTGTTGAGGTCCATGCTGAGCTGGAGGAGCCATCAGAGGTCACCGGACAGGACAGCATCAGCAGGGGGGTCTGGATTGGAGAGGTACCAGTTATAATCTCTAAGAATCCACCTGTAATCCGAACACTAGACACTGAATTTGAAAAGGCTCCTCTGGCCAAAGCTGAAGAAGATGATGATAATAATGATGAAAGTGAAGATGAAGGCTCCAGATTGAGTATTGAAGAAAAGCTCCATCATGTGAAGAGAAGTGTGAGTCAGCGCTCAGCCAAAGACGGTCTGTTGGTGAAGAAACTACTCCAGCGCCAGCTCCAGAGGGCGGTGAGCTTTGGGGCGGTGGAGCACATGTTACACACTCAGGGGGGCCGCCACAAACCTGGCGCTGAGGACACATTCGCCAAAATTATATGTGGCTCTCAAGTGCACCGGAGGAGGAGGCACAGGCCCCACACCTGCTCTGGTATCACAGAGCCAACTCCTTCTGCTGCCAAGTGTAGCTCCACTCCAGCCGAGGTAAACCAAGATACTCATATTTATAGACAGCACCAGCCTGATTCTTTCTGGTTGGTTACAGACTGTCATGGTAGAGTTTGCATCACATGTTACAATATGCTTTTGCTCTATACTGTTGTTGTTGAGGCTTATTGGTTGTTATCATTACTGGGTTGATTGTCTTTTCTTATGTTTACACTGAATTGTTTTGTTTTGTTTCACTTAATGGTGATTCCCTGAAGCGCCTGACTAAAATGAGCTCCAGTTAAAACTGAAGTTGTTTGGAGTACAAACAAATGAGTGGGCTCTCTGTGAAGCTGACTCTTTTTTTTTTATCTATGGTATATATATTAAGCCTTCTAACATGAAACAATTACATTTACCTACAGCAACTGGTGCCAGATGTTTGATTATATGTATTTGCTTTTGAGACATAATCACAGACTCTTGAGCATTCTAATTCAGTTCTGTTTCAGTTGTGCAGGGCTCTAGAAAGTGCTTTAAAGTTTGCATGTGTTGAAACTTGCACTAACAGACCTCGCAGTGATCCCTAATACAGCTTAAGACCAGATTCTTTGATGTACTATATGCTTAACTTTACAGTAATAACGTATTGAAGTACATAGATTTTGAGGTGAAAATCATGTTACAAATGCCCATTCTTTGTTTTTGTAAAGATCTCGGAGATCCATGTGACCGGAGAGTCCGAGGAAATGACAGCCAAGGAGCGTCTTCTGTTCTGGTCCAAACAGATGACTGAGGGCTACGTGGGCGTACGCTGTGATAACTTCACAACCTCCTGGAGGGACGGGAGACTATTTAATGCCATAATTCATAAATACAGGTAACAGAAAATTATTATTATTGTTTTATCCAAATGTTGTTTACTGAATGTTACTTTTATTTTCAATTATTATTATAATATGAATAGATCGACAGATAGTTACACCTGTAAATTGATGGGGAAATGATTGCTTGTCCATACATACAATAATAATATAGTTCTAGTGTCTGTGCTACAAACAGGCAAAGGGCCTAATTCTAAAACACAGCCCCTTCCCCACAGGCCCTAAACCAAAAAAATTTATATTATATTGTTGTGTGTTTTTCATTGTTTCTCATTCTTTTCCCAGGCCAGACCTTGTCGATATGAGCCGTGTATCAGCACAGACCAACCGATCAAATTTAGAGCAAGCATTTTGTGTAGCAGAGCAGCTAGGAGTGGCCAGACTGTTAGACCCTGAAGGTAAGATCTCTTGCTAGTAGAATTCATATTTTATTACACAGCTTCTTACTATACGTTTTTGGTATTTTCCCTAAATAGATGTAGATGTCCAGTCTCCTGATGAGAAGTCAGTCATCACCTATGTGTCCACCTTGTATGATGCCTTCCCCAAAGTCCCCGATGGTGTCGATGGAATCAGCCCTAATGTGAGTGACTGGTTAATCAGCATTGTTCCAACCATTACATTCAAAATAAATTGTCCATTAGTTATAACATTTATCCTATCCATTTATCCTATTGTTGTTTACATGATGTGTGTTTTTTGTGTTCTTTGTTGATCTGTTGTTAATGGTGTTTACAAACCAGTGCAATTTGTTTACATTTTACACCTTTCGTGTATTGAGATTGGTTCATAACATTAGAAAGAGAGTAACTTATGTAATATATTTTTATACAGGATGTGGACATAAAATGGGTTGAATACCAGAACATGATCAAATACCTCAGCCAGTGGATTAAACACAATGTGGCAGTAATGAATGACAGAGCATTCCCCAACAGTCCTGCTGAACTTAAAGTAAGCTATTTAATGCTTATGTGCTTAAGTAGGTTAATTTTGCATCTGTATTGAAATATATATTTTTCATGCATAAAATCATGTGCTTTTCAGTCTGCTTTTGTAACCTGTATTTTCTTTTTCAGGCACTTTATTCACAATATCTTCAGTTTAAGGACAATGAAATCCCTATAAAGGAAATAGAGAAGGCAAAAATTCAAAACTTATATCAAATGCTTGAGGTGAAGCCACTATTTCTTTGCATCGTTGCATGTTTAGTTTTGTTGGCACAATCAGTGTCTTAAGACTATTCTTGCACAATGTTTATGGGGCAGGTGTGGATAGAGTTTGGACGTATCCAGTTACCCCCAGGGCACCACCCCAATGATATCGAGAAGGAATGGGGCAAATTAATCGTTGCAATGTTGGAGAGAGAGAAGAGCCTGCGGCCTGAGCTAGAGAGGTATGTATTTGAATTACTAAAGTACTGGAGTGAAAGTACATAGAGAAAACCTTTGTACTGAGGTGAATGTAATCTGAACACTTGATACGTGACAGCTAGTTATAATTGCTTTATAATGATAGTGATAGTTGGTCACACAAAACCATTGGGGAGTGAATGGTGGTTTTTAAGAGTGTAAGTTGATCTTTCGGATGTGGGTAACAGAGCCTAATGCTCCATGAATCAGCAGATATCACTTCAAGTAGTCTGTGTACCCACGAATCACATTGCACTCTACCTAATGTGTCCACAGAGACCTAAAGCAAATGAGACGTAAATGTCACTTTCATTGGACCCAGTCTTATATTCAATGTACAGGATATGTGCTACTTTCAATGTTATGGCTTAAAACTCAAAGGTGCACTGCTTGTCTATGTATGGTGATGTTATTGCTTTGCTTGGGATGTTCCACAATATGGCATTAAACAGATATATCTTGCATTTATTCAATTCTAGTAGATTTTAATTATATCAAAACTACCATAAAAACATGCATTATTACTGTGAGTTGGCCCACTTCTCTACAGATCTGGGCTGTAACTTGGCCTAGTGATGTGGCTGCTTTTAACTATGGAGATAGTTAAATTAAATGGCATACTGGAGAACATTCCTGGAAAAAACAAAAAACAACAATAACATTTACAGGAATTCAAGTAGGTGGTGTAACCAGAAAAGTTACACAGTGCACCTTTAACTGAGATGAGCAGCTTGTGCAAGATAGTGTTTCTTTTATATAAAAACATATTTTTAAATTATATCTTTATATTTGATTATATTATATTTCACCTTCTTGCCCACTGAAATAAATCTGCTGCCTTGTGTGCAGTGATTTCCATATAAGCATGACACAGTTCTTATTTCTTATCCATAATTTCACATTTGTGACCTCTTTAAAATAAATATACTTTAGCAGGCTGAAACAGGATATTGTTGTTTATTCAGAACTGTACTGGTGACATAAGACTGGCCAACTTTTCACATCGTTTCATGAGATGACTGGCTGTCCAATAGTAACTCACCTTGTCTCATTCCTAATAAAGGTGCACAGTCTAAGCCTGTCAGTTCATTCCTCTTCCCCCAAGGGTCACATATTTTACAGGGTGGGATTCAGCTCCTCCTGACAGGCGCTTCACCTGCCGTTGCTGTTATAAAAGTCAGTCAGTGCTCAGGGATATGCTCAGTCTGAGGGACAGGCTGTAGAAGGAAGATAAAGATGGAAGAGCAGACTGAGGAAAATTTGGAGTAGGAGAGAGCCACAATGGAAAACATGGCATTTTTGAGCAGTCTCTCTTCTGTAAGCAACGGTAGTTTTAACAGCATTTGCTCCAATGATACACTGCACACTCTGTCCGAACCTTTGCAAATTAACAGCTCGGTCTTTCTTAACAACAATCTTGCTTATGGATCTCGGTAAGGTGGTGTACACTTTATGTGGCGATGGAAGTGAATCCGCAATTTCACTGGACATGTTTTCTACAGGCTCGAGATGTTGCAGCAAATCGCCAACAGAATCCAGCGGGATTGTGTCAATGGAGAGGAGAGGCTGTCTTTGGCTAAGGCTGCTCTACAGTCGGTGAGTAGTGTGCTGATGGATTTTAATTTCTCTGTGTAAAAAGTAAATATTTTGAAAAATTTTAAAGGTATAGGATTTCAAATATTTATTATACTTAGTTGAGGGATTCAATAATAATTTTCTTAATTAATAATAAAAGTGTCCTACAATTTTTCATCAATTATATCACTATTTACTCTCTATTATTTATGTATTTTTTTCTATAAGGATGCCAAGCGTCTTGAGTCAGGTATCCAGTTGCTAAATGAGGCTGAGGTGGCGGGCTATCTTTTGGAGTGCGAGAACATCCTCCGGCAACAGGTGGTGGACATACAAATCCTCCTGGATGGAAAGTTCCCCTTCGCCGATCAGCTTGTTCAGAGAGTCTCAAAGCTCCGTGATGACCTGCTGGTTCTGAGGGCCGAGTGTTCATCTGTGTATAGCAAAGGCCACACCTTAACCAGCGAGCAGACCAAGATGATGATCTCAGGCATCACACAGAGTCTAAACGCAGGCTTTTCTCCAAACATCCCCTCCCCTGCACTGGCTTCTGGACTCAGCGCAGGAGGACTGGCCACTCCTGGATCCCCATACACCTCTAACCTCAGCCCATGCCTTTCTCCAGGTCTCCCACCTGTCTTAAGCCCAGGTCTGCAGTCTTCCCCAGTCCAGACCTTTATGAGTGGCGGAGGGGGCAGTATGGACACAGATGGCTTCAGGCATGTTAAACAGATGCACATACGAAAGCCCTTGTTGAAATCATCACTGGCCGATCCAAGTATGTCAGAAGACGAAGTCAACATGAAGTATGTCCAAGACCTGCTGACGTGGGTGGAGGAGATGCAGGTCAGACCCACGTTTGAGATTTACTTTTTCAGTCTTTTGAAAGTTTACTCCCTCTGTAAAGTATACTCTTTTTTTGGGTCAATAGCTGCAGCTGGATCGTGCAGAGTGGGGCTCTGATTTGCCCAGTGTGGAGACATCCTTGGATAACCACAAGAGCATACACAGAGCCATAGAGGAATTTCAAACTAGTCTTAAAGAAGCCAAACTTGGTGAAGTAAGTAAACTGATAAAGGTTGCAAATGTATTTAATTTATTTTCTATTATTATTATTATTATTATTATTATTATTATTATTATTATTATTATTATTATTATTATTATTATTATTATTTATTATATAATTATTATTAAAATATTATTTGTATTATTATAATTTTTTTTTACAAAGATTTAAAATGTATTTCTTTCCCATAGGTTCAGATGACATTACCCTTGAAACTAAGTTATTCAGAAAAAATAAACAGACTTGACAAACAGTATGACAGATTATTGGTGAGTAAACACAAAAATTGTAAAAAAAAAAATAAAAAATACATGCGATTAAAAGAACATAAAAGATGTGATTGTGCTTGTTTGTGAAATTGTTTTTGATTCCATTTTCAGAGTTCCTCCAGAGACCGACAAACTCACTTAGAAAGCCTGCACGACTTTGTATCGAAGGCGACTCAGGAGCTAATCTGGCTCAATGAGAAAGAGGAGGAGGAGGTGGCTTTTGACTGGAGTGACCGCAACAGTAATATTTCTAAGAAAAGGGACTACCATGCTGTAAGTCGCCATTTTGTGTAAGTGTGTGGTGAAATTTAACATGCTGGCCTTAGAATGAAAGTATATTAAATTTGACCAGGATCTGATGAGAGAGCTGGATGACAAGGAGGATGTGATCAAGTCTGTACAAGACAAGGCGGATCGGCTTTTACTCAAAAACCACCCTGCCAGGCTGACAATAGAGGTAAGATTAGGTCAATGCATGCACTAAATGAACACTTCCTGACTCCACAATGTCTTCACTAATTTAATTATAGAGATTTAGTTTAAATTTGGTCTTTTTCTCTTCCAGGCGTACAGAGCCGCTATGCAGACACAGTGGAGCTGGATATTACAGCTCTGTGCTTGTGTGGAACAGCATTTAAAAGAGAATGCTGTTTATTTTGAGGTGAGTATTTAATGTTTAACTCATAATTGTGCATAAAATACAGTAAACTGGTCTTAATGAATCTTGTATGTTGGTGCAGTTTTTCAGTGACGCTAAGGAGTCCATGGATTACCTTAAGGGCTTGCAGGACACTATACATCGGAAATACAGCTGTGACCGAACCAGCAGCTTACACAGACTGGATGATCTCATTCAGGAATCTATGGTAAACTCAATAAATAGAAGATGCAAGAGCATTTACAATAAAGAATGTTACTCATTGTTGTATTGATTGAAGGATGAGAAAGAGCAGCTGCTTCAGTACCGCAGTACAGTAGCAGGACTGGTGGGCAGGGCCAAGAGTATTGTTCAACTGAGACCTCGTAACCCTGACAACCCAGTCAGGTCCTCCATCCCAGTGAAAGCCATTTGTGATTACCGCCAAATAGAGGTACTTGCTCTACTATACTCTACTGAAAAACACACACACTTTCTTAGTGCCAAGATGGAGAGGTACTTTGCTTCTATAAAATCACACATTTTTTACTTTATATTGTGAACTGTATGATAATTCAATTATCAATTAACCAAATTATCTTTACATCTTTATTTGGTATTTAACTTCATGGTCAATGTTTATAACTTTCAGATAACGATCTATAAAGAAGATGAGTGTGTACTGGCCAGTAATTCTCACAGAGCCAAGTGGAAAGTCATCAACCCCGCAGGGAACGAAGCAATGGTGCCCTCTGTGTGCTTTACTGTGCCTCCCCCAAACAAAGAGGCCATCGACGTCGCCACAAAGTGAGTGGGAACTGTAATATTTTCATGTGGGACATATGACTCACGAAAAAGAAGAGAAAGACAGTAAATACAACTTCTGTGCTATTCCTTTAGGACGGAACAATTATACCAGAATGTTTTGTCTCTATGGCACCACTCTCACATCAACATGAGGAGTGTGGTCGCGTGGCATCATCTAATGGCTGATATAAGGGCTATCCAAATCTGGAATGTGTCTTCGGTATGGGATAATTCATATATTTTAATACAATTTGTCTAAACTACTGTACATATTGTTATATTTCTATTTACTACATCAGATCAAGACCATGTTACCAGGAGAGCACCAGCAGGTCATTCACAATCTGCAAATTCACTTTGGTGAGTTTGTGAAGGACAGTAAGGAGTCTGAGGTGTTCACTGTGGCTGACTGCGCTCAGTTGGAGAGGGATGTGGCTGCCTGCAAAGAGTACTATGAGGAGCTCCTTCGCTCTGCAGAGAGAGGCAAGGCTTAGCTTCATTTTCCACTGAAAAAACACATGGCTCTTTAAGCCCATAAGCCCAGAGTTAATGCCTTTTGGAATTATAGTATTTTGTCTGACTAAGAACCTTTCAAAAGACCTTTCTGGCTTTGCTGCCTGTATTTTTTTTTTATGTAATTATGGGTGTGGTAGGAAATGGAACATAATTATATGGTTTTACATATACTTGTGAATGAATGAACTGAATTTATGAATGTATGCATATCACCATGAGAAGTTGTTTCCTTCTTTTGTCATGTACAAGAAAAATGCAATCATTTATTTTACTTGACATGACAAGAGAGTATAAGTAATCTATGGTTTGAGGCTTTGACATGTGATAATATTGCCATCTACAGGTACATCCAACTTAGTGCACTATGACTCATGAAGTTGGATTTGAAGCATCATCACATAATCACTCATAACACTGTCTTATTAAACTTCTGTGACATTATTATTATATTAAATTCAACAAAATGTTTAATAATATTTGTATAATTTGTATTTAAACAGAGGAACACCAAGAGTCTGTGTACAACCATTACATCTCCGAGATCCGTAACTTTCGGATGCATTTGGAGGCTCATGAAGAACACCTCATCAGACAGATCCGGACCCCTCTGGAGAGAGATGACCTGGACCAGAGTCTGCTGAGGATCACAGAGCAAGAGGTACCACTTCAGTACTAAATAGGTTTAGGGCTGCTACTAATAATTAGGTGAAAGATATAACCTCTTCTCTCAACACGTGTTTTGGAGTCTGTGTATAGTCCCGATAATTATTATTCCATTACTATATTATCTGACAATGATTTCAATAATTTATTTCAATAACTGATGCATTGTTTCAGCCCTAAATAATCTATGACATGATGACAAGTTCAAAGTAAATACAAACATTACCTAGTGAAATGTCACACTTATTTTTACTGAAGTTATTAATGTTTTTCTTATATAATTTGTTTGTTTGCTTTGCAGAAGAAGATGGCAGAGCTGGTTAAACTAAAGGAGGACTTTGATGTGATGAAGGACAAGTGTGAAGCCTTCATCAGGCAGGCTGTGGGCTCCTCATCTACCTCCACTCTGTCATCTGAACTTACTGCCTTGGTGCACAGCATGAACCAAGTCAACTCCATGTCATTCATTTATATGGACAAGTATGACTGTTTTGATTATAGTTTATTGGTGAATATATTGGATTGTAAAACTATAATAATTGCCTTTGCTGATATCTACAGGCTGAAAACTGTGAGCTTAGTGTTGAAACACAGCCAAGGTGCAGAACTGTTAGTAAAATCCTATGAATCTAAGCTGTATGAGGAGGATGCCACGAACTCTGACCTCAAATCCATCGAGACAGTTGTTTCTATTCTCAAGGTAAAACTGATTACCTTGAAAATTGGTTTTGTAACTACTTCATTTACACCCTAGCTAATACTAATCCTAAACATTAAATGAAGCAGTTACTAAACCTGTTTCATTCTTACTATTAAACAATTTGTTCATTATTAATTAAGTTTTTGTCCATGCATTATTAAGGCAAATGAATATGCAGTTATTATAAAGTGGCACCAATGCGCTTTTATTCTTTGTATATTGATTGCTCTTTCGCTTTCAGCAATGGCGAACAGAGATAGACGAACAGCAGGAGGTGTTCCACGACATGGGGGATGAGCTTCAGAAAGCCAGAGTCATCAGTGACCGCATGTTTAAGGCCCACAATGAACGGGATTTTGACCTGGACTGGCACAAAGAGAAAGCAGATCAGCTCAGTGAAAGATGGCAGAGCGTCCACTCACAGATCGACAGCAGGTACATGATCTTGCAATATCCATATAGCAAAACACTGAAATACACTCCCCAGCCCTACCATTTAATGCAGTTGTGTTAAAATAATGTAAATATACCAATATTTTCCAACTATTCTGATTTTAAAAAATCATCAAATACAATACTTTCCAAACATATGAGCCAGATGCAAGTTCTACAAGTGCCACCATAAATTATTTTGCTTTTCAAGTACACCAGGACTGACACAAAGGAAGACAAAAACATCCATATATGTGTCTGTAAATTAAACATTTACAAGAACTGTAAAGCCCGAGTACCACTAGTGGGACATGTACCATAGTTTGAGAAACACAGCTCTACAAATAGGACTAGGCTGGCCAGGCTAATAACGCACCTTATGAATAAAATGACTATGATTCTGTATTTCATTTGTTGGTGGCTGTATACTGTTTTTAAATGCTATAACTTCATGTATACAACTTTAGGCTCAGAGACTTGGATGGCATCAGTAAGTCCCTCAAACACTACAAAGAGTCTTTCAGCAGTCTGGATGAATGGATCACAGAAATGGAGACTGCACAGCTAAAGGCCCAAGAAAACAAGCCCGAGGACAGCAAGGCCCTGGCTGAATTATTAAACAAACAAAAGGTTGAATAATTATGAAAGAACAACATTATTTTTTATCATAATGATGATGCATATTCATTTGTTATGTTTGATGTTTAAGGTTCTTGTTGGTGAAATTGAACAAATACAGGGCCGGATTGATGAATGTCAGAAATACTCAGAGCAGTACTCCACAGCTGTCAAGGTTAGCGATCTGATTCATATTCAGCTTAAATGGTCTCATATCTATTAAAAGCTATCTCAGACCAGTAATTGATTCTAATGTGCACATCTTATAGGATTATGAGCTGCAATTAATGACATTCAGAGCCATGGTTGACTCTCAGCACAAATCTCCACTGAAGAAGAGAAGGATGCAGAGCTCTGCTGATGCTGTTCAACAGGAGGTGAATACAACAGTAATTTGAATATATGTATGTTGTGTATAAATATGTAGATAATATATAGTTAAAAATACTGTGAACAAATGTGTTTTCAGTTTATGGATCTCCGAACTCGCTACACTGCTCTTGTGACGCTCATGACACAGTATGTGAAGTTTGCCAGTGAAACTTTGAAGAGGACAGAAGAAGAAGAGGTAAGAGATGTCTCCAACATCTTTCTTTGTACTTGTAATCTGTTTATGTGTCATGTGATGTGCTATTAAAAGTATCTTTGGGTCTTCTGGATACAAAGGTTATAATGATTTGCCGCAGTAAGTTTCAGAGTGTGGGGTTGTAGTTCATATGAGCATGTCTGTTCCTTTGCTGTTACTGGTGATGGTGTTTTGATGGTATTATTGTCTTTTGAGAAGGTTTCAGTTGGAAACCTTTGATTAGCAACTGGAAATCGCTGTTTTTGGTGAGTTCTTGAACTTGAACTTCTGTTAAATGAAATTGCATTTAACAGTGAGCAGCATGTGAGGGGAGTGGCTCAGTGGTGCTACAGCACATCCCATAGTTATGAGCTTTTGTGAATTGAAGCAGTGGATGACTTTTGTCTTTGCGTTATAGACCAGAAAGACTATTGAAAAAGCAGAAAATGCCAAATGGACAGAGAACCTGGAACTGCAAAAAGCAGCAGGTGAACTGGAAATGAACCAACTTCTGGAGCGCATACATGAACAGGAGGCACTGCTGAGCACAAAACAGGCAGAGCTGGAAAAGATGGAAGGAGAGATAGAAAAACTCCAGCAGACCATCAGTGGTGTAAATCAGGAGAAATCCAAACTGGAGCATGAAGTGAATCAATATCGCACACAACTAGAGATGGCTTTGAAAGAAAAAGATGCCATTGACCAAGAACTGCAGCACACACAGCAGCTGATAGAGCAATTAGAGGCTCAGAAAGCGAGGGCAGAGGAGGAGAGGAGACAGGAGGAGAGGAGGCAAGTGGAGAAGGAGCAGGAACGTAGGAGGCAGGAGGATAAGGGGAAAGAGACAGAGCAGGAGACAGAGCAGGAGGTAAAGGTCCAGAAAGCTGAGAATGGTTTAGTTTATTCAGCCTCTGCAGAGGCAGTGCTACTCCAGAGTGAGGCCCACATCACTGTCCTTAAAGACAATGAGGTCCTGCAGCAGAAACTTGTCCTGTCTCAGGGCAAAGCAGATGTGGCTGAGAAGAAAGCAGAGGCCTTTAAAAAACTACTGGACGACAGCAATGAGGCTTTACAAAAACTACAAATGGAAATAGAAACGGAGAGGATCAGCATTACCAAGAAATCTGAGGATCTGCAACAGCAAACAATAAACTTAAAGAAAGTGATTGGAGAGCTGCAGGAGGAAATCAGATCACTCCAAAGGGCCAAGTCGTCACTGGAGCAGAATGTGTTCTTCCAACAAACTGAAATGGAGGGGCTTAAAGAGCAGCTAAAGCTCACACAGGGAGAGCTACAGAAGAAAAACACTGTGGAGCAGGACAAGGCCAATAAAATGCAGGAGTTAGAGGAGGAGTTAGATTCAAAACAGACAGTAATCAATCAGCTAAAGTTCAAGTGTGATGAGCTGAAGAGAAAAAACGTGTCCACTGACAGTGACTTCAGACATTTACAAATCGAGGCGGAGTCCCTGGAGAAAGAGAGGGCAACATCTGAACAGAAGATAGTGACTTTGAAAAATGAGATTGAAAATTGTAAACAGCAGCTTCTAATTGTGAAAGAGGAGAATTTAACTGTGAAAAGATCGGAACAGGCTTTGCAGCTTAAGTTTAAAAACCTAGAAGGCGAGTTACAGAAAAGTGAACTGGTAATCTCTCACCTACAAAAAGAAGTAGAGGAGCTAAAAAAGACCAAGATAGAGACAGAGAATAATTTAAAGAACACTAAGGCTAAACTTGAACAGGTAAATATGGAAATTGACAGCAGGGATCAGCAAATCAAGATATTGAAGGCTCAGGTTGAAAGTAGCAAATCACAGGTTAAAATCATTGAAGATGAGCTCAATAGAAAAGCGCAAAGTAACCATGACCTTCAAATTAAACTACAGAGTTATAGCGATGAGTCTAAGAAAACATCTGAACTGCAGCTCAAGATTCAAACACTTAACACAAGCATAGTCAATTATGAGAAAGAAATCAGAACTCTCAAATCAGATATTCAAACTTTATCTACCGAGAAAAGTGCAGCTCAGCAAAAGATTGATCGTCAAAATGCGGACATAAATGATTTGAATGGACGATTGAACAGAAAGACCACAGAGCTCCAAAGAGAGAGTGAGGAGAGCCGGAAACATAGGGACAAAATCAGGGAATTAGAAAGTGAACTTACAAAGTACAAGCACAGCTCTGTCAGTACTGAAAAAGTATCTGTGCAACTCAAACAAGAAATGACGACTCTTCAAAATGACAAGAAAGCAGTGGAGAGGAAAGTCGAAAGCTTGAATTTAAAAATATCTGAACTTAATATTTCTATTAAAAAAGCCAATGATGAGTTAGTGAAGGTGAATTCTGAATTGAGAATGAAAGAGTCAAAGATTATGCAGCTGGAGATGGAGTTAAAACAAACTAGGACGACAGTAAAGGAAGTGATGTCCAGTTCGGATAACTCACGGTCTAATTTACAACTTGAAAACACAATGCTTCAAAAAGAGAGGACAGAGCAGATGGAAAAAAACATGTCTCTGTCAGCAGAAGTCCGAACTTATAAAGATACTCTGCAACGCAACCAAATCGAAATCGAACAAAAGCAAAGAGAAAATGCGGCTCTTAAGTTACAGGCACAGCAGATGGAGGAGCAGCTGAGTAACTGTAAGAAAATGCTAGAGGAGTTAAAAAGCAAACTCCAACTTCAGAAAGAGACGTACGAGAAGCAGTTGGTGTTAGTGAGGGCAGAGGTGGAAAAGAAACTGATTTTGATTCAAAGTGAAGGGAAGGGAGGCTCACAGGGATCAGGAGTTACAGAAACTATTAAAGGCGGTTTAAATCAAGATATTAGACATATTCAGACAGTGCACCATACAACAGTAGAGACCAAACAAGGGCCAGACCAGCAGCAGATGCTAAAAATTGAACAAGAAAAGAATAAGGTTCTTCAAGATTTATCCGAAGCTAAGTCGCTAATATTGCAGCTTCAGGAAGACAACCATAAACTTGGATCACAAATTTGCGTCTTACAAAAGCAGTACAGTGAGCAAGTTATAGCTAACCAGCAGAATGATCAGATTAAACAAACTCAGATAAGTGAACAGGCTAGACAAAACCAACTTAGTAGCCAGGTTAAACAAACAAGCAAAGTGAGTGATAATGAGCTGAAGCGATCACTGATAGAGAATGAAGCCAAGTCATATCGGGAGCAGATTGAGTCGTATGTGAAAGAAGTGCGAAGTCTAAAAGAGAAACTCATGACGACGACAGATGTCAAAATGGGCAGTGAAAATGTTTTGGAAAAACATGTGGATATTCGGCCTAGCTCAATGAAGATTGAAACTCAGACACAGCAGATGTATCCAAACGAAGCAGTAAAAGCCTCTGCAACAGTAGACGGGGCGCTGCAGACCAAAGTGTCCACAGAGGTATGCATGACGAAGATACTTACCATGTATTTAGTTACAAAAACCCTTTTTAAACTGAAAATCATGCTGTGTGGAACGTCCAAACATTTTAACCACGTCAACCTAACCTATACCTAAATTATATTTGCATTTTAGTACCCATTTAAAAAAAAAAAGTAGACATACACTACCAGTCAAAAGTTTGGACTCATCATTTTATTCACCTTTTTTTTTTTTACATTTTAGATAAATACAGAAGGCAACAAATATATGAAGCAAGATATATAAAAATTCAATGTAACCATAAATTTGGTTATGAAATATTTAAAAAAAAGAGTGTAGAGTTATGTGCTACATAATTCCATACACTTTACTTCACATTTGATGTCTTCTGTATGTATATCAAATGTCGAAAGTAGTAAGCATATATTCTATAAAAGTTATATTCTATAAAGCTTCTGACTGGTAGTGTAGATAAACCTTAAATGTGTACTGTGTAACTTTTCTAGTGGAGGTCTGCCTGTCACTATGGAGGTTCTATAACAGTTAGTGAGTACAATTACAGTGATTTGGATTGGCACTAAAATGAAAGATAAACAACATACAGTTATTATCTCTATCAAACATTCTCATCTCAAAAAACAGGTGAGACACTGACCTCATTAAGAAGCATAGACGTTTCATACAGCATTTTTAGAATAGGTATTTATGGTCAAATAAATAGTTAACTTCAAATATTATTCTAATGTCACATCCACAGGTGGCAAAGACCCAACAAACTCCAGAGGAGCCCAAACCACTGAACAGTCAGACCATTATCAGTAAAACCATCCATTATGAAGAACCAGCACAGAACCAGGCCAGCATGACCACTAAGAGACAGTACATCACCAAAGTGTTTGAAATTACAGAGAACGTCACCACCCAGATGCATGAAAACCAGAGATCTGAATCTGGTCTCAATGCAAGGAAAGAGGAGCACACTACTTCGGTTATGCTTGGTGGAAAGTCAACAACTATTGCTGGAGTCTATGTGGAATCGAGTAAAAAGAAGATGTCGTTTCTGGAGGCATCCGAAAAAGGATTCCTGGCTAAAACTTATGCTGTGGAGTTTCTTGAGGCTCAAGCTGCCACTGGAAGGATCACAGATTTGGCAACAGGTCAAATCCTTTCAGTTCTCGAAGCTGTTGAAAAGGGCATTGTTGATCCGGCTTTGAAAAATAAACTAACAGAAGCAGAGAAAGCATTTACAGGTTATGTCTATGCTGGGAAAAAGCTGTCTGTGTTTCAAGCCATACAACAGAGGATTATTGATAGGTACAGAGGGAAGATATACTTGGAAGTGCAGTTGTCTACAGGGGGGCTGATCAACCCAGAGACAGGGGCTAGAGTGCCTGCTAATACTGCTATTGACCAGGGCCTTATAGATAAAGATACCCTGCAAAGTCTGTACGAACCAGTTAGTAACACAAAAGGTTTTCACAGCCTGGATACGGGACAGAAGGTGTATTACTCTGAAATACTTAAGTCATGTGTTTTCGACATTGACAGCGAGGTGTATCTAGTCCCGTTTGGAGATAGACATCTTACCAGTATCTCTCCCACTAGCTCCCATAGAAATTGTGTCGTCAGCAGCAGCCAGGGCAGTGAAATGTCAGCTTATGAGGCCTTTAAGAAGAAATACATTGACAGCACCACATATCTGGCTTTATCCAAACAAGAAAGTCTATGGGAGGAAAAGTCCATAGTTGATGCCAGTGGTACATCTGTGCGTGTTATCAGTGATCCTAGAAGTGGCCGAGAGATTTGTCTAGAATATGCTTTGAGACATCGTTTTCTTGAAAAGTCTGAGTTTGAAAGCTATTGCAGTGGCATTCTGAGTATCTATGAGTTAGCCGATGTTATATTTTCAAGGATGGTGGTAGTGGAGGATGCTAGCAGCCCAATAGCTGGTCTCTGGGATGTAACGTCACGGAAGCGACTAAGTATTTTCCAGGGTTGTCAGCAGGGTTTTACTGATAGAGCCACTGCATTGAGGTTGCTGGAGGCGCAGGCTTGTACAGGTGGAATATGTGATCCTGCTTCAGGGGAGAAAGCTAGGCTGACCGAAGCTGTTAAAAGAGGCCTTGTGGATGAATCGCTAGCACAGCAGCTACAGCAGTTCGAGCAGTCTTATTATGGCATTGTAAATCCAAAAACTGGAAAAACATTATCTGTTTCCCAAGCGGTCCAGGAAAACCTCCTACCAAAAGATGTTGGCTTTCGCTGTATTGAGTTCCAGCTTCTGACTGGAGGACTGGTGAACCCTGAGACACATGAGAGGGTGTCTTTTGAGGAGGTGATGCAGAGTGGGCTGGTGGACAAAGTCACTGCCGCTGTGCTCAAAGATGAGAAGTTTCACACCAAAAGTCTGACGTGTCCGAAGACGAAGCGGAAGATCACGTTTAAAGAGGCACTGGAGAGGAGTGTGTTTGACTGTCATACTGGGCTGAGGCTACTGGAGGCCACCAAGCTTCACCCATTTGGTGCAAAAGCCATGTATCACTATATCTTAGCATATAAATAGTTACTCTAACTTTGTATGTCTGTTGTTGAAGTATGGCTGTATTCAATAAATGTACTTGTATTTCTTGTGTTTTGGAGCGTATAACATAAGTGGATCTTCAGTTGAGTTTTATTTATGTTATTTTCATTTGAGCATTTAGGATTCTTGACCCTATAACTGACATGGTTAGCAATGTTACTTAAAAACCTGCATTCTTATTCTAGCGGTCTGTTGATGAGGAGAAGAGGGAGCATGGTGACAAAGTTAGCAAACTGTTGCACTGGATGTCCAATGTGAAACCAAGTGCCAGCCCAGACGGCAGTGCTCGTAAAGATAGTAATGCCAACACAGGCACTTCGAATAAGCCCCAGGTGTGTATGTGTAAAGTATGTGCTTCTAATGTTGTACATAAATGTTTTGGTTATGTCACTACTGTCTGTGCCATTTCACTTGTAATAAAACCACTGTTCAACAACTCATTTAATACATCCATATAGTGAAGAGTGTAAACATACAACAATCTTTCTATACTGTTTTTTAAATATTAATATACAGTGTAACACATCCCTAAGCTTAAATTCACATTACATAATGCCACCATATGTGGGAACACTACTGCAGGCCAATACCTGGATATTTAACAACCTTTGAAGCTATGTCCAAGATACATTTACTCAAATACCATGAACATGCCTTTATAAAACATTTTGCTTGCATATTAAATTCTCTATTAGTGTTTCAATGCTTCTATTATTAGTTATTCTGGCTACTGGAAGTCATGCTGGTTAATCCATATTAGAATCTATTCAAAGTTCCTAAATTAAAAGGAAACTTTTCCTGAGTTTCCTGTTTGATCATAAGTAAATGGGTAAAAGTTATTTTGTACATAGCACACACCCTTTGTAAATGTAAATATCTGTATATTAATCAACTCATACATCAAAGAGCTAAATAGACACCTATATAAATATTATATATTGAAAGGGCTTCACCTCGGTCTAAATCATAGCCTGACTCCAATATTTCATTAACTACAGGAGAATGTGTGGTATTTATAACATTTTTGACTTTTCATGGACACTGCCATTAATTGTATGCGAGTTTGGACAGGGTGCACTGCTGGCTGTAAATCATTTACTAAGTGCACATATTTTATGGTCATTTCACTGCCGCCTCCAGATATGCTTGTAATAACATATCACAAATCTTCTGAAATTATTTTTGGTCTTTTTTCACTTTTACCCACCTGAATATTTCAGTGAACCAGTAACTTTTATTATTACTTATTACACATATATACTTTACAACTACAAATTTTGCAATAAAACAGACACAGAAATCACCTCTTAAATTTTGAATTTATGTATGTAGTTTGTATATTCATATTTGTATGCCTACAACGTAATGTATTGTAGTATATTTTAATACGGTATTAAACTTCTTTCCTTCTACAGGTTTCATTGGAAGACATGGTCACTAAAAAAGAACAGATTGCAGAAGCAGTGAGGATCACACAAGCAATGCTGAACAAACACAGTGAAAAGTAACTGCAGATTGATATTATTGATTATTGATATTAATATTATACACCTGCACACACGCACGCGTGCACTAACCTGCTGTATCTTTTTAACAGAATGACAGACGAGGAGAGAACAGAGGCCGAGCAGCAGCTAAAAGAGCTGAACCAGGCCTACAGCGAGCTCTCCCAGCACTGTGCGTCATTCTCTGCAGATGAGGTGGGACTCTGTTTTTTTTTTGCCCTTTCGAGTGTAATGATGTGTTTAGAAACAGCGCCACCTGATGTCCACTTGCATGACTAACCATTTTCTCTTCCTCAATCCAAAGTATATTGCATCATTATCACAAAGAACTGAGTGTGTGTCACAGGCAAGCTGAACCCTAACAGAAGGGTATGCTGTAAACATGCTTAGTAAACGTGCTTGCTAACTCACACATCACTAGAGCAACGGGCTGAGCTTTCCACCGTTATACTACTATGATGTATGTTATGTAACTAACATTTTTTGGCGAAAAGCTGGATTTTGTATTTCCAAATGCATGACAGCTTTTAATATGTTGTCTGCCACGTTCCTGCCTCAACCCTGAAATGTTTGTTTTTGGTGAGTAAATATTTAAGCTAATTCTGTAAAACATATACCGCTTCTAAATAAATTCTTAACATCATTATTATTAATTCAAATTGTGTTTGTGTTTCGCAGGTTTTCAAATCTGGAATTTTGATTAAGACTGCACATCAGAATGACAACTCCTTATCAAACCTTCAGGCTATAAGTCTGGATAAGCATCGGACAGAGGTTTATGAAAATATGGAGCAATATCCTGCTTTGCACCAAGATCCCAGTTTCAAATCAGCAGTGAACGCTCAAAACAAATGCCTCCAGTCTGCAGACATGTCCTCCGTGTTTCTTCCTGAATTAGCAGCTACTTTGGGAGAATCCACACAGGAAAATCCTATCCTTAAAACAATTGAGCTCAAAGACAAAAGAGACGGATTACAGATGTGCTACACTGGAAATACTCTAAGTTTAGATGAGGCTCTTCATACTGGTTTGATCCCTGCGTCGCTCTATATAAAGGCATTGCAACAGCAGAAGCACTGTCTGGATTTGAAAAATACCAGTGCTGTTAAAAATGTTCCTGAGTCAGATCCACAGGAGGTTCACTGCATGATATTAAACTGCCTCAAAGGAAATAAATTAATTATGCTGGATAGAAATATTTATCCTCTTAAATTATCAGGCCAAGGCCAAAATTTAGGAGAGGAACCTGGCCAGACACAGGACCATATCATGCCTAATGTAAAAGTGGATGCTTCTGTCCAGTGTGATCTAATGAGTTCTAGCAGCTCTCTCATTGTCCTCGGAAATCAGTTTATCGGAGTAGTGCTGCCTCCATCTGGGGAAACTGTATCCACCTCACTGCATGTTGAAAAGGAAGCCATCTTTAGCAGTAAGCTTTTTGGAGATTACCAAAAAATAGTCGCTTTTTACATCCCAGAGATTTCAGAGGTACTGGACATTGATTTAGCTGTTAAAAAGGGTTACATTGACAGATTTTCAGCAGATATTTTGAAAACAATTGAGATTCCAAATGAGTTATTGGGCATTGATAATCTTAACAAAGAGTATTCATCTTGGCTCACGTACATAAAACTGAGATCAGAGGGACAGTTAGTGCCTTTACAACTGAATTTTAAGATACCATCACCATCAGAGGCCAAGCTACTGTTTGTGTCGTATCTGAAAATGAACACTTACATTGACCCTAAATCAGGACAAAGAATTTTAATACTGGACAAACAGATGACAAACATGATCAAAATCTTCCTTGAAAATCCTTCGATATATGAAAGTATCAGTAAGACTTATTTCACTGTTGATACTGAAGATTTGCCTTTAGAAATCAATGAGGGAGAAGAAATCGATGAAGAGGAGACTCATTCCCAAAGTTATTCCCAAAATTTTGTGTCATCAGCCAGTGGGAGTATTAGCTTTAATCAAAATGAAAGAGACACCTATTTGAATCCAATGTGGGCAGATTTGAATAACCGTACAGACACTGATGAAGAAGTCATTGCGGCACAGGATTCAGATTTAGATGAGTTTGAGTATAACCTGTCTAGCAGTACCTTACATAATCAGTTTGTGAATAAAACTGAAGTTCAAACTATTGAAACTACAACCGTAATATGCGCTATGAACTGCTGTCCTCAAAATGTAACTACCTCTCAGTTATACCTGGATGCCCATATGTTTGAGAAAATAGATTATACACAGTCTGAAAATCCCTGCGCTGTTGAGACTCACTATGAGGAAAGAGAGATAGAAGATACAGTTTACTTTGTACAAGGACAAGGACAAGATAAGGAAGAAGATATGTTGGATACAGCCACTGAGGAAAATTACACAGAGGAGAGTCTAAAAAATAAACAATTTATGTCTCATAGTGATGTGGAAAACGTTAAAAGCACACAGGATTTAGACTTTAACCAAAATACACAGTCTGTATATAGCTCTAAGTTTACTCATAACATTACTGACAATCAAAGTTACGAGAAAGAAAGTGATGTAGTACCCAAAGAGGGCTTGTACAATGACAGCACCCAATCTATTCTTTTTGATCAAAATAAAATGCATGTTAATAGTAGTGAACATTCTAAAGAAAATCAACCTTGTAAGAACACTGAAGTCTTGATGCTCGAGACTACACACAAAGATGAATGTAGCGAAAGCCAAGAAAGTGCTGCATTGATGGAGTATGAGACAAGAGAAAGCACGGATGAGATAAGTAGAAATCTATACCCGGCCACTCCCTGCATTAGCACTCCAGATTCTGCTTACTCACTGATGATGTCACCCTCTCCTGGAAGTCACGTGACCGCACGGACTATTGGTCAGACTGACAAAAGGCTAACACCGGATGAAGGCAGTTTATCGGAAGTTACAAGGCAATCTCAGCCTCAATTTAATCCAATCACGCAATCAGCTTTATCAAATGATATTGCCAATGATGAAAAAGCAAAAAGACAGCTTGAATGTACCCCACCTGATAATTTAGGTGATTTCACTGCTTCTTTGGACCAAGCAGAACTAGACGTTGCTTCATCTAATGACCATCTGTATTTTGAGGAAGCCAGAACAGATGATGACATGAACCCAGACCAGCCAATGTTTCATTTTGAACTCATACAAGATTACTCATCACCAGGGGATTTGGTTAAGGGTGTAATTTCAGGCCGTAGCTATGATAACGGCAACAGCACAGTACAGCAATGGGTGGTACCTCATTCTGGAGATAGTAATGTTGAGTCTGTGTGCTCTGAAGATGTTCACACTACATTTGAAAGAGAGATAGCAAAAACAGTTAAATGTGCCTACTTTTGAGATTTCTTTACACGGTGCTATAGATCACGAGGAAGCATCTGTTAATACTGAAGTGAATAAGTTGATGGTTTCCACAGATGAAAAAGATATTTTAAAACAATATACAATCCAGCAACCTTCTTCAAATAGTCAAACAGGGGGAGATTTGGTTAAAAGTGTTATTTCAGACAGCAGCTATGACAATAATGTAGTTCAAAGCACAGTATGTCAATGGGTGAGTCCTGGAGATATTGTTGAGACTGTGTGCTCTGAAGATGTCCATATTGTATTTGAAAATGAGATGCAAAAACAGTTAAAGGTTCCTACTTCTGATACTTCTAGTGCAAATATTTGTAAAACTATCAATGAAAACAAAGCAGAAGTCTTCATTCCAAATAGCACTGCAGATGATGAGGAAACCTTAAATAAAAATAGAAATGTAGAGACGAATACATTGAGAATTTCCCCAGAGCAGCAAGAAAATGTCATTTTTAAAAATAATTCAATACAGGAACCTTTTTCAGATAGCCAAACAGGGGGCATGTTTATTTCAAACAGCAGCTGTAAAAATGACAATGCAGATCAAAGCACAGTGGAAAAATGTGCTCTTACTCATTCTGGAGATATTAACGTTAAATCACGATGCTCTGACAATGTTCACATTACTTTTGAAAGAGAGATGCAAAAAGAATTACGGGAGCCTACTCCTGAGATTTCTTGTGCAAATCTCAAAGAAGCTATTAATGAAGGCAATGCAGAAATCTTCACTCCTAATACAGATGATGAGGAAACATCCGTAAATAATGGCCTTGCAGAAAATGTTGATATGAGTAAATTGAGGATTTCATCAGATGAGCAAGAAAATTATATTATAAAAAATTTTTCAAAGCAACAACTTTTTTCAAATAGCCAAATCATAGGCAATACGGCTAAGAGTGTTATTTCAGACAGCAGCTATGAAAACAGCTCTGCAAATCAAAACACAGCTATAACTCATGCTGGAGATAATAATGTTGAGTCTGTGTGCTCCGAAGATGTTCACAAACAGCTAAAGGTTCCCGCTCCTGCGATTTGTAGTACGAGTCTAAAAGAAACTATTGATGAGAACAATGTGAAAAACTACACTAAGAATAGCTCTATGGATGATGTCCAGACTCATGATAAGGAGACATTTGTAAATAACAGTCTTGCAGAAAATGTTGAGGTGAATGCCTTAGCGATTTCTCAAGATGAAATAAATTATTCAAAGCAGCAACCTTTTTCATATAGCCAAATAGAGGGCAATTTGGTTCCTAAGCCTGAGATTTCTAGTGCAAGTCTAAAAGAAACTGTTAATGAAGACAATGCAGAAATCTTCACTCCAGACAGCACTATGGATGAGGATGAGGAAACATCAGTAAATAACAGACCCCTAGAAAATGTAGAAGTGAATATGTTGAGGATTTTCCCAGAAAAGCAAAAAATTTACATTTTACAGAAGGACTCAATGCAGCAACCCTTTTCAAACAGCCAAATACAGGGTGATTTTGTTATTTCAGGCTGTAGTTATGAAAATAATGCTGCAGATCCAGGCACAGTGCATCCATGTGCTGTATCTCATGTTAATGTTGAGTCTGAATGCTCTGAAGATGTTCACATTACATATGAAAGAGAGCTGCAAAAACAGTTAAGGGGGGCTGGTCCTGACATTTTCAGTGCAAATGTCAGTGAAACTATTAATGAGGTAAATGCAAAAATTCCCACTCCAAATAGCACTACAGAGGAAACAGTCATAAATAACAGGCCTGCAGAAAATGTTGAAGTGAGTATGTTGAGGATGTCCCCAAAAGAGGAAGAAAAAGATATTTTAAAAAATATTTCAATGCAGCATCCATTTTCAAACAGCCGAACGGAGGGAGGTATGATTAAGAGTGACATTTCAGGCATCAGCTGTGACAACAACAATGCAGATTCAAGCACAACACACCAATATGCTGTAACTCATTCTGGACTTATTGAAAGTGAGATGCAAAAACAGTTAAATGTTCCTACTCATGAGATTTCTATCCTTAAAGAAGCTACTGGTGAGGACAATACAGAAAACAAAACTATGAAAAGCTCTATAGATAATGCCCAAATTAATGATAAAGAGATATTAATTAACAGCCAAGCAGAAAATGCTGAGGTGGATACATTGATGATTTCCCCAGAGGAGCAAGGAAAAGACACTCCAAAACTGAAAACTGATTCAGTACAACAAACTTTTTCAAATTGCCATGTAGGTGAAGAATTAAATCATGGAAAATCATGTGAACAGTCCAGTTCAAATGATTTCAATCCTGTGCAAGTCAATAATAACTCAGACGTTCCTCTGTGTCTGCAATCAGCAAATGAATGCTTGCAGGATCATAGTTCTACAGACAATGTGATCCCATATGTGGCAGACCAAGTGCAAATGACTCAAGAAGAAAATATTGTCTGGGAGGAAAATCTTGAATTAAAGGACAGTGAAAACCTAGCCAAAATGACAGAGAAGTCCAATATAAAAGAATTATCTCAAGAACAACTGGAGCAACCTGAGTCTGTACATGACCACAAGGCTCCAAGTTTGATACCCACTGTTTTGGAAAGTAATGTATTTGAACTAGAGAGCAACTTAAACAAGAGTGATCACAGTGAAGACCCCAGTGCTCCAAATATCCAGTTACAGCTCCTGCAGGTTCTGAAGACTGTGTCCTCCAGTCAGGACCTATCTGTGCTACAAGAGGTGATGGACACATTAAACAGTGCTCTGGGAGGAGAGAGGGATGAGGAGACGGAGAGACACAGGCTAGACAGCATTAAGGAGGAAGAGGAGGCCGAAGATGATCAACGTATTAATAAAAAGGAGAAGAGAGGTGATTCTGCACTGTCTGATAATGAGAAAGATAAGAGTAAAATCCAAGAAGTTCAAAATAAGGTTGGTCATGTTGTATCCACAATAAATGCTATGCTTTGTAAATTTTATGTTTATGACTTAAATGTTGTATGTGTAGTTATTTTCCATCCAAGATTATTTGGAATGTGTTGGAAAGCTACAAGATCACACTGATGTCTTAGATGATATTAAAAAAGATCTCAACACTCCTATAGCTAAAAACATGGAGGACATGCAGAGTCAAATAGAGGAATGTCAGGTAAGTACTTTTTCAAAATCAATATTATCATATTTGATCAGCATTAAAAGTAAGTAGGTGTTCTTGTTTACAGATTTTAAAGTCACAGCTAGCAGAGTTAGCAGATGTTTTGACTGAGGACATGAAGAAAGCCAAACAACTTTTAAGCTCTAGAGCGGTGGAAATACCCAAACAAATCCACCAAGACCTGGCCTCAACATATGCAGATCTAGAACCACAATTTACGTCAGTTTGCAAACTGTGTGCCGAGAGAAGTCATTCACTGATGGATGCAGTGAAAACTGGAAAGGTAATTCTTAATTTATAAATGTAGTAAATTATAAACATTACGGAAACTATTAACCTGGCTCATTCTTAGGAACATTTGGAATCAGTCTGTGTTCAACATGTCAAGGCTCTTAAGGAGCTTGCAGAACTTTTTAAATACGACTCCCAAGTCCCGAACATGGATTTGAATTTATGTGATTTGGACAAGCTGAAAGTTTTGATCCAGCAAAACCAAGTAAATAATACAAGTTATATGCATTATAAAAACAGTGCATACTCATACACTGATGTTTCTTTTTCCTGCAGGACTTTGTGAACAGTCTCCTAAAAGAGGGTCGCCTAAAGTTAGAGGACGTCACATTTGAAATCCAGAGCTTTCTCTCTGAGCACACTCAGTTCTTGAGTCCAGCTCACAGCAGTTACCTGCTCAAACTGCTCAGCTCCACTCAGAGAAGCTTCAGGGAGCAGGCAGAAAGGCTATCCACTGAGAGGAGCTCACTGGAGCTTTTAGTGGAACAAAAACACAAAGAAAATCAGGCACAGGTCTGCCTGTATATGATGAACTGGTTTACTAATCAAATAACTACTCTGCCAAGTATAATGTGTTATAAAATATACAGAAACTGTTTAGTCTTCTCAAGCATGGCTTCTAAATGCTCTTTATAACAGAAACTATAATAATGTTAAACTGAAACAAAACAGAAAGCGCCTCTCTTCCGTTGGCACAAGCACACACACAACGTGGCTTTTTTACAGGCATGTTTACAGCATCCCTCTGTTAAGTGTTTTTTTGCATGTTATCTATCCACTTTGTCTTTGTTGCTTCTCTTGTAGGTTCTGGATGTTGCACTGCTTGTTCTTAAACAATTAACTTTTTATCATTGTCTTTACAGACACTACTTGAAAAACACAAGGAGTTTTCGGAGAAGCTGGAAGAAGTGTTTGATAATCTGACGCTGACAGAAAACCGTCTGATTGGTCATCAGCAGCAGGCAGGAAACACAGAGTCTGTGAGCGAGCTGCAGCAGTACCAGCAGGAGCACCAGGTGAGGCAAAAACTGTTTTACTACATACTTACACCGATACTCCAATTTGTGAGTTTTATAACTATATATAACTATATATATATATATAACTATATATATATATATATACTATATATATATATATAACTATATATATATATATATATATATATATATATATATATATATATATATATATATATAGATATATATATATAAAATTTGTAACTATTAAAAACATGTAGTAACATTTACACTTGCTTCTTTTTCTAAGGCTTTGCAAAAGGATGTGTTGACAAATGCCAGTGCTCTGAACGAGGTAGTCTCCAGCACAAAGAAGTTCCTTGAGGAAAACAGAAATAAGTTGACCCCAGATCAAATTGCCCAAATCGAAAACAAGCTGGAAGATGCTAAAAGCAGATCCAAGGTCATCAATCAGCGTGTTGAAGATTCACGGAAAGACCTGGAGAAAGTAGTGACGTCTGCCATAAAACAAGAAAGTGAAAAGGTAACTGCTCATCATATGTGTAGACTAAGATTTTGTAAAGAGGAAATAAAATATTGTATTATAAATTTGTCTATGCAGGCCGCAGCGGTTGAACGGCTCGAGGAAAGCAGAAACAAAATTGAAGGTCTTCTAGACTGGATTTCCAACATTGGGAATGAGAATAAGTGCAGCCCAGATGAAACTGACCATATTAGCAAAGAGAATTGTAATGTGCGGGGTGGGACTGCGGCCAAAGAGATGATGGAGGAGGATGATGATGCCAATGGAAATGCCCCACAGAGCCCTGAGCAGGATCACAACTGGGAGAATGGCCAGAGCAGTGCATCCACAGATTTGAACAAACAATACGCAAAAGTCAAGGTAAAGGAATCTTCAAATGCACCATTTCAGGGTATTAAGTATTACAGAGATCAGAGATGCTAAACAGTTTTGAGAGCTTTTTACCAATCCCTTGCCTCGCCCCCTTTATTCTGCTAATCAATGCAGGGGGCTTGTCTTTAGTTAAGAAAGAATTTCTTTAACAACTACAGCCTTTTTATAATATCTTTGAATACATAGAGTGTGTTCACACTTGCACACTCATCACATCAAAACTTGGACATGACTAATCTCTACAGTAAACCTGAACTAGACTAGGACTAAACTAGGCTCAAACCAGAAACAAAGCAAGTGTGAACATTCTCTATAAAATATATAGCTGGGTACAGGTGATTAAAAAGTTATATTAAAACAATACACATCAAGACACTTCACACTTGTGCTTTTTTCCCAGGCACATCACCAGGCTATTCTGTCCCAGCAGCAGGACCTCCTGATTGCCACACAGTCAGCTCAGGCCTTACTTGACAAACAGGCCAATGTCTTGTCACCAGAGGAGAAGGAGAGATTACAGAAAAACATCCAGGAGCTAAAGGGACGATATGAGGCATCTTTGACCCAGGCCGAACAGCAGATGAAACAGCTGCAGTGTGTCCAGGAAGAGCTGAAGAAGTTTCAGGACGACTGTGAGGAGTTTGAGGCCTGGTTGGACCAAGCTGAGGATGAGAAACAGAAACTAGAGACTCCAGCAGGTTCACTCAATATTCTTACTGATAAACTGCAGTCTCAGAGAAACTTCTCAGAGGATGTGATATCCCATAAAGGAGACCTGCGTTTTATAACTATATCAGGACAGAAAGTATTAGATGTGGCCAAAGCCTGCATTGGAGCTGACCCTGCAGATAAAAACTCACCTGTGCATGTGGATACTTCAGGGACCTCTGCTTCAGTTAAGGACAAACTGGATTCTGCAGCCACTCGATACAAGGCTCTCCATGCACAGGTACAGCATTATTCATTCATGACAATACTTTCAACAACCACTAGAGGGTGGCATTTGCCTTAAAAGCAAAGGGGAAAGAAGAATAGCAGATTGTAATAATATTTTTGCTTCCACTTGTTTTCTATGTTTTAGTGCAATCAGCTTGGCAACAACCTCAAGGATGTGATTGACAAATATAAAAAATATGATGAGACCAGCGCAGGCCTGCTCAAGTGGCTCAATAGCTCCGAGGACGAGGCGAGAAAACAGCAATCAGAGCCTATAGCAGCTGATCCACAAACACTGCAGAAGCAACTGGAGGACACTAAGGCAAGACAAATATTAAATGCATTTAATATTATGCATTTAGTGTTATCCCAGTTCATTCATTGTCTGTAAAACACTTTAGAACTTAGACTTGAAGTTGATTTTACATGATTGAACTGCAACACCAAATATAGTACTATTTCACTATAAGAGTTATTTTTAGCCATGATTTCAAATATAGTCCCACATGGGAACAGTTAGTTGTGTTATTTCTAGTGTGCACACTCCAACAAGCGGATAAGAGTCTGTGCAGACAGAGCTGTTGGCTGCCTTTTCTTCTTCAATGTTAAATAACATTCCTCAGTTGAGACGTAGTGACTTACAGTACTGATTTCCACAGATAACAAACTAAGAGGGTCTGGAAACACTGGTTATGTTTTAGTTATATATCATCTCACATAAACATGCTGTGTATTTGGAACTAAAATTACTACTTATTACACTAAATAGTGAATGTGCCCTGGCTTATCACTGATTATGTAATTTTCTAATGGACATTTTATTGGCCTTAGGTTTTGCAAAATCAGACCACAGGACATCAAGCAGCTGTTGACACTTTACGTAAGACAGCAGAGTCTTTGATTTCGTCTGAGGGGGATCTGCTCAGCAACACAGATGAGATACAGGAGACAGTAGGTAAGACTGTGAAAACTCAAACCAAAAGCTTAACAAATGAAATGTTTTAATTTTATTATCACACTGTACCAATAAATGTGGCGTGCTTTTGTATGTTTTAACATTCAGATGACATAGTGGAGCGTTATGACAACCTTTCCAAATCTGTAAGTGACCGAAATGAGAAAATCCAGATCACTTTGACCCGCTCCATGAGTGTCCAGGACGGTCTGGATGAGATGTTGGGATGGATGGAGCGAGTGGAGGCCAGTGTGAAGGAGAACAAACAGATCCCACTGGACTCTGCCTCTTTGGCTGATGCCCTCAGCAAAGAAACAGTATGTCTTATTGAAAAAATATAATTTATTTGAGTGTTTCTTTTAAAAATGCTCATACTATCTCTGTTAATGCTTTTAGGCTTTAGAGCAAGATATGGCAAGTCGTCAGAGCAGCATCTCAGCCATAAAAGCCAAAGTGAAGAAGTTTGCAGAGACCGCAGACCCATCAGCCGCTGCCCTACTCCAGTCCAACATGGACGCTCTCTCTCAGCGCTTCTCTAATGCATGTGATCAACAAAAGGACAAAGTGTCCACCTTAGAACAACTCAAGAAAAAAGTGGAGGATTTTGAGAAAGTAGCAGATAAAGTCCAGCAGTTTGTCGTGAAACGGTCACAGGAGCTGCATGAAACCGATGGGCCTGGCAAAACATTCACTGAGCTGTCTGGATTAATGCAGGTAACAACAAACTAAGGACTGTATTTTTTACTTTAATGTACCACTTTATAATAACTAGTGGTATAACATTACAAAAAAAAAATCATGGTTCGGTATGTACCTCGGTTTTGAGGTCACTGTTTGGGTCATTTTCTGTACAGTATCGGAACAAAATGAAAAACCATTTGCTTGTTGTTTATTTGTGTGTTTATTAAATCAACAATTTGTTTTAACATTTTTCAGATGGGAAAATAAAATGCAAGCAAAGTGCTGCTTGGTAATACATAAAATATTCTCAAATAAGCAATAAATGTATGAAATATTAAAAAAAAAAGTAATTCCTTGTTAACAGTAAACATAACTTTTAAAAAATAAAGAGCAGCATTAACAGTTCCAGGATGAAATTGAACTCAACTTCATATTTTTGGCCAGAAAAAACAATGCGTCCACATTGTCTGCAGTAAGTGCAGATCTGCTGGCAGTTATAATGTCCCCAGTGATTGAAAATACCCTTTCACTAGGAACAGAGGTCGCGGGTATGGCGGGGTATGGGCAATCACAGAGGAGTTCCCTCATGAATATTAAAGAGCCGAGCCAGCTTCCGTGAAGCTGCACATGTAATGGCAGAATGTAAACACACACAAATTGTGCAAACTCACTCGTGCACAGCTCTGCACTGAACCAAACGTCCCGTACCAAAACGGTTCAGCACGAATACATGTACCATTACCCTAATAATAACTACACTTTAATTAATCTTAATAAACCATGAACAAATGAAAAATACATAAAAAAAATTATTAAGAATGATTCAGGCTAAATTATGGAGTTAGGGTTGGGGTTTTAAAAACTGTTACCTAATTTGATTGATCATTTCCAGTTGCTACATTCATCAAACTGCTTTACAGAATACCAAAGCAGAGATGGAGGAACATTCGCGTGATATGGAGAAGCTGCAGAGTTTGTCCAAAGAACTGTGTGAACTAAGCGCCGATGGAAACAGAGCCCAGATCCAGAGCAAGATGGATAACCTCACAAATACCTTCAACTCTTTCAAAGATACTGTCCAAGAAAAGTATGTTTTCTCTTGAATGACACATAATTACTGTAAAATGCATTAATTGAGAACATATTTTATAAAGGGAAGAGGAAGTGTCATCTTGCCAAGACCAGCTTGGAGAATTTAAAGCTTTATCTGGTGCTCTCACATCATGGCTGGAAGAAACTAAAGACAAAGTCCCTGCAATGGACCCAGGTCGCAGTGAGAAGAGTCTGGAGAAAGATCTGCAGATAGTCACAGTAAGTTCAATAATGACTGTGTTAATTAAAGATTTACTATGTAACTTATTTGGTGGAGGGGCCGCCACCTGCTTGTCTCCATGGAATGTTATTGTTTTGCCTGGAAAGTTTTACAGAAAGGCATGAAACCTATCTCTTTTCATGGAAGCAAACATGTGATTTCTCCAGGCTAAATTACTAGCCAGATGGAGAAAAATATAAGAATGTATGTTTTTTTAAAGCTATTTCAAAGCAATAAAAACACCTGTTATTTAATAAATGCAAAATGGACAAGATTAATGCCATAATTTGGTACATTCCAGGAAAAACACTAGCATTCTATGGAAACAAGCAATAAAATAAATAGAATTTAAATAGAAGTTTGTTTTGTTAGAAACATTATCCTGTGTTATGATAGGACACATTAGATGTTCTCTAGCAACTCCAGTAAATGTTGAAAGTATTTCTGAGTCAGATCTTGTATAAACAAACAATCTAAACAATGCAACTCCATCTAATTGACCTACATTTCAACATACTAATTAAAAGCAAACGTGACCTGTTTATCCAAGGGAGGACAAGAATCACAAACTTCATTGTTTAACACAAGCAAAACAGACTTTACAGACTTGAATCAAAACAATGACACATAATGTTATTTTTCTGAGATGTATTTGATTAATCTTTCTCAGGAACTTTTGGATGAGTGGACTTCAAAAGGCTCTGATGTGCAGGACATGAACAGCAAAGGCTCTGCACTTTGTAGCTTCATCACTTTCCTTACTTCACCTGCCAAGTCAAAGAATGCCAACAAAGGTAGAGTCAAGCAAAGTGTCTGTGTGTTTTAATGGTACAGAGGAGTGGGGGCATGGTGCTGGGGGGACTTTTAACACTAACATGTTTTAATTGTCATGGGCTGTCTTCTTGTATGTTCATTTATACAAGCTTTGTCTTGTGTTTCTGCATCAGCTCTTACTAACGGTGGTGGTCCGGTCAACCATTCCTACCTAACCAATAAAGGTAATTGAATAAACCTCTTTGGTGTATGGAATCTATTAGCTCTGGATTTCTAAACACAACAGGGGATATGTGAGCTTAATGTTGAATGACTCTCAGAAAGAACTACAGCAGCATGTTGAAAACTGTGTGGTGCATGTGAAACAATAGTAACTTTAGGCAATTGCTGCAAATGTTGTTTTAACACATCATCAAATAAGTAAATATCACATTGTTACTGCTAGTATCTTTTCTATTTCAGATCACAACTTTTTTTCAACTAAAGAAGGAGATCTTAATAGACCTATGAAAATAATTTTAAGTTATTATTTTAATGGTGACTTATGTTTACTTATCCATAGATCTAATGGTGATACAGCAGAAGATGTCTTTTGTCAGTGAGGAGTACACTAGTCTTGGGGACACACTGAAAAGCAGGGTCACCGAGTTAGATCATTTAGTTAAAGAAGTAAAAGAGGCTCAGAAAGAGACCTCTGATATGATGAAGTGGCTCAAGGACATGAAAAAAACTGCTGCTTCTTGGAACACTGCAGCCACAGAGAAAGATACTGTTAAACACAACTGGAAAATCAGAAGGTAATGGAAATTACATTACTATTTTTACTCTTTTTGTAATTGCATGAGAGCATTAATATTTTGTTTTTTGTCCCAGTCATTTGAAGAGAACATGAAGGAAAAAAGAGAGGAGCTGCAGAAGCTGAGGGGCAAGCTTCTCCATTTGATACAAACTCATCCAAACTCTCCAGAGGCAGCTAAATGGAAGCAAATGCTGTCAGAAATAGGTGTGCATGAAATGAAACCCACTGCTAATAATATGAAATATGAATAGTATTGACCTGTACTGCAGACTGTGACTGATATTGTTGTGTTATCTGTAGATGCGGCATGGGCAGATATTAGTGACTCTGTAGAGGAAAGGAAACAACATCTGGAACAGTCCAACAAAAACCTGGACATATTCAAAACCACTGAGCAGCAGCTTTGTCAGTGGCTTTCAGAAAAAGAGATGCTGATGAGTGTCCTTGGGCCACTTTCCATTGATCCAAACATGCTCAAAATGCAAAAGCAGCAGGTTCAGGTAAGTAGTTTTTTTACACTCCCAGTTCAGGCAAACTTAAACCACAATGCTGTGTCTATCTATGTCTTTTTTTCTCTTTAGATTATCCAGAATGAGTTCAAGAGTCGTACTCCTCAATATGAGCAGCTTGAGAAAGCTGCCTCTTCCTTACTGAGCTCCAGCCAGGATCCTCAGAATGAGAAGCTTGTGAATGAGCAGCTCAAGGTGGTCACTCAGAAGTGGCAGAGCCTCAGTGGACAGCTGGACTCCAGAGACAGTCTGATAGACCAGGCCATGGTCAAGACCGCACAGTTTCAGGAGCTACTGAGGAGTCTGAGCAACACCACCACAGAACTGGAAAACCAGCTCACCAATCACCACAGTCAGAGCACCCAGCCTGAAGCACTGAAGAGGCACCTGGAGGATGTGCAGAAGATATCCGCTCAGCTCAGAGAAGAGAAGAAGAAAGTGAAGGAGGCAGAGGCAGTCAGTGCTGAGCTCAAAACACTGGTCACTGAGGACTACTTGAGAGCAGATTTGACCCGGCAGTTGGACAGTGTCACCAAGCCCTTCAAAAATCTGGAGGAGAAAGCAGGTCAGTGCCTCAGTGCATAATTACAGTGACTTACAGTGTGAAAATTATATGATGGGGTTATAGGTGAATGTTTCACACTCAAAAGCTGCATATTTTATCATAACTTAAGATAAGTAATGTAATGATAATGCATAAGACATTATCATTACATTAGATAAATGCTATAGATTATAGTCTGAAATCTTGTCTGTTTTTTCCTATTGTTACAGCTAAATGTGTTGATGAACTGAGTTCAACCTTTGCCAGTTCGCAGCAGTTCCATCAGACATCTAAGGACTTCCAGGCGTGGCTGGGTGAGACGCTCCAGAAAGAGTCTGAGCCTCAGTCCATCTCAGCCAGGGTGGAGGTGCTCCAGCAGAGTCTGGAGGACCACAACAAGAAGCAAAAGACACTCAGTGAGCACGTGGAGGCCTACAGGACTATTGTGGCCGAGGGAGAGAGGCTACTGCAGAGCGTGGATGGTGCAGAAAAACTGGCACTGCAGGGGCAGCTGACTGCACTGTCTACTAACTGGGAAGATGCGAAGAGGAGCCACACTGAACAAGCTGAGAAACTACAAACTGCTTTACAAAAATCACTCAAGTTTAACGAAAATGCTGAAAAACTAAACTCCTGGATACAGGAGTCTGAAAACAGAGAGGCCAGAATCAAACTAACTGTGGATCCTGTTGAAGTAGAAAACTCAATTTCACAAGTCAAAGCTTTGCAAAAAGATGTTGATAAGCACAGAGGACTGGTTGAACAGCTCAACACCGCAGCAGAGGGCCTTATGGAGGTGGCTAATGCTGATACAGAAATGATCAAAGAGGAAAAGTCAAGTATTGCTAAAAAAGTGGACAGTGTGGTTGAGGCATTACAGAACAAGAAGGACACATTAGAGCAGATCTCACACAAAGTAAAGGAGTTTAATGATGGCTACAAAGAGGCCCAGTCACACCTTGAAGGAGCAAAAAAACAGATGGAGACATTTGAATCACAGGGTGTCCAGGCGCATAGTAACAAGAATTTAGCCAACATGAAAGCCCAGCACAAAAGTCTAACTGGAGTAGAAAACCAGGTTGAGCACATCAAGGGTCTAGCCAAAGATCTGGTGGTAGCTGTCCCAGATGCGGATGGTGTGACCGACCTCCTGCTGCAGAGTGACAGTATAGAGAAGGAATACAGCACTCTCAACAAAAAACTAGAGGAGACGTGCCAAGTACTGGAGGGTAAACTGCAGGGCATTGGACAATTTCAAAATAATATCCGTGAAATGTTTACCCGATTCACTGATTTAGATGATGAGTTAGACAACATGGCTCCAGTTGATTTGGACCTGGCTAAACTTAAAGAACAACAAAGCAATATAAGTGGTTTTATCAGCAGACTCCAAGAGCTAATGTCAAACACATCTGATGCTGTGGACAAATGCAAAAAGATGCTTGAGACTGAAGATTCTCCTGATCTGATTGGACTCAAGAGAGATTTGGATGCCTTGAGTAAACAATGTGGCAAACTGCAGGACAGAGCTAAGAGCAGAGAGACACAAGTGCAGAGTACACTTCAGAATCTAGAGCAGCTGTATGGAAAAATCAAACAGGCAGAGCACAAACTCGACAAGGCCGCGCTCAAGGAAGAATCCCAGGATGCAGTTGGCATGGAAACGGAGGTCATCAATCAGCAGCTGGAGGCATTCAAGGTAACTGTTTTGTTTTATTTTTTTCATCAAGGAAAATTCATACATTGAAGAAATATTGTATTAAATATTGAATAGCATTAAATTTAATAAAAAATATATAATATATTTTAAAAAATATTATTCACAATATTACTAATTAGTATAATTGAATACTTTCTCATTGCTTAATTAATACTAAGACATTAAAATAAAATGTGTATTATAGTTTAATAAAGTGATTACATTTGCTTCAGTAGTAAACTACTCTTCTCTCAGAATACCACTTTACATACTAGACCTGGCCTATTTGCCTTGCACATGAGTTGTGACTCATGTCTTGTAGCATGTGTCTGTGGCTTCCTATATTTATGTACATATATAACAGTGTTCATTTTATTTCTTAACTAAAGTATAATGGGATTCTGTTATGTAGAAAATAACTATTTCTACATGATTAATAAATAGTATATTTAATGCTATGCTAATTCAGGTATAGTAGAGGCTGTAGACTATACTATTGGGTACGATTACCTATTTGCATAGCACTCGAGTCACCCTTTTGCCCCATACAAGGAATTCTCATGGGACGACTGCTCGGGGGCATGTGGTGTAAACAAAGGAGCCGGAGCCCAGGCCTGGTGGTGTTGCAGGATAGGGCCGTCAGAGCCAGGTGGTGACCAGCAGGGTGTCACTTGAGTCAGTGGATTCATTAATGAAGCCAAGCCTACAAATAGATCAACATTAACTGAGTAGCTTTTGCTAATGGACTTTCACAGCCCTGTAATTTAATGTGCTCACAGAGGCCTGGTGTTATTTTTGTCTGGCCTATTTTTCTTTCAATCCCATCAGGTTACTGGAAATTTAGAAGAATATCTTGTATTGTATTTGTACTGGATTTATTTGTTTGATCAAATGCATACAGTACATGCTATTGTGCCTTTTTTCAATTTAACTTAATTTACCCCAGATTTACATGCAGCATACAACAGCCATAAAAAATAAAAGTAGACAGATGTAAAATATTTTAAATTCCTGTGTAGTCTTCAAAAAGCAGATTAACTCAGTTGGGGACACTTGAATTAAATGTGTATATTACATTACAATACTGCAAAGTAAACAGATGTGCACATGACACAGATCATACCCAGTAGTAGGTCAAGAGATTTTGTTTTCAATTAAGGGGGTGGTGGGCGCTGGAGAGTGGGGTGGATTAAAATGTGGGGGTGTCTATTTTGTGTGCAGTTTGGTCTCTGTCTTTGCAGCAAACATACAAAAGAAGTGATTGATTCAGATTGTTGCTAAGCAACATTGTCATTGTGTTTCACCCCCACTTTCTCTTGTCACCCGTCCTGGCTGAGAGGGCACAAGCCCACTCCCCGGGAGCCTCCTCCCAAGCCTTTGTCCTCACAGACCAAAATGAACCAGTTGTGTTTAGCAACAAAAGTTTGATGGCATAACAAAGAAATGCCATCAAGTTTTTTAAGCATTATACAATTACTCATTTTCCATTATTTGCAAGGAACAGAACTTTATTGGCAGCCTGTAAAAATAAATAGAGAGAGCACACTCGCATGAGCTATTACCATTTTAGGTCACGTTTAGAAATCCACATACCTGACTTCACATGTTTACGCTTGAATTTGTTAGGACGTTAAAAGCAAGATTAGATCATATTATCAATACACTCTATGTATGTGGATAACCTTATTATATACTATACAACATATGTTTAATCTATAGGGCGGCCCCTGTTACTTAGCTCTATGGGGGGTTAGTGTCGACATTTTCTGTGGCTTTTCAGACATTACCTCAGTGTCAGTGCTTTTCACAAGTATCCCTTACACTCTGATTCATAAACTGGGCACAGTGTAGCTGATGGAAGTTAAAATGTGTCATTGAGGGCAAGCAGCTGACTCACTGCCACAGTTTCATAGGACCATTAGGAAAAACTATCATGTTACGACTGCGCTAAAGTCCTTTTGTTGTTTTCGATACAATACTTAATCTAGATTTACAATAGCAGTCTATATTTGGACTGGAGTAAATTTAGGAGTCACGAAGATAGATGTGATCATTAGTCAGCTGGCTCCAGTCAAGTGCAGTCGCTGTGGTGTGTAAGCTGCTTCCAAACGAGTGGACAATCCAGGAAACCAAAACAAATTCCTCTCATGATCTCCTCCATCCGCCTTTCTCCTGCTGTCCCGCGCGATGGACATAAAAAGGCCCCTTCATGCACTTGGCAGAGGAGCTGGTGTTAAATTACCTGAGACCTGTGCCTCCCTCAGCATTCCACAGTAATTAACAATATCTGCGGGCTCCCAGCACCCATCCACCACAATAACACAACAGAGGGCAAAGAGGAGAAAAGATAAATGTGTATCTATTTCAGAAAAGTGTGATGTCATCAGTGGGAGCCAATGCTGACGCCCGCAAGGCTTTTTTTTTTTTTTTTTTTTTTGAGTAGCCGGTGTCTTGCTCCACTCCCCCATTCCTTTAGTCAGTGTTTTAAAAAAGTGATTATGTCATGACTCTGGATGAACCATGCTTAGTTAAAAGTGAAGTCATACAGCCCACAGAGACATAAGGGGAATTAGAGGAAAAAGGGTCATGTGTCCACCAATCAACATGTGCCGGAGCGGCTCAGAGCACAAATGGAGTTGTGGCAGATGTTGTGTGAATAATGAGCGGGGGCGGGGCTTAAGCTCTGCCAGGAGGGAGTCTGTCATTGCACAGGCAGCGATGGGAGAGAAAGAGCAGGGTTTTGTTTATCCACGAGTACCAGCTCTGAGCACAACTAACACGCAGTTTTTGAACAAGCCTGCTGGACTTATCTGTGGATTTATCACTTTGCACTGAAGATTCACTACCCTGTCTGGATTTGACAAGAATTTCAGGGATTTTAAAGCACTTTGGATGAGAGGAATACGTTCAGCCATTCAAGGATATAAAGTGTTTGTGCATGGATTGGTGACTGTTATAGAAACTTTTGTTTACTTTCCTCTTCCACTTACATTCAGAGTTCATACTGTGAAGCTGCTATTATTATATTTAATTTTTTGTATATTTCTTGAGAGTATTTTATTTTTTTCAGATTAAAATGTCACTATATTTTTCATTTATTTAGTTCATATTTCTACTTTCTTATATATATATATATATTCAATTTTTATAGAAGCTAATTTACTATAGAACTAGTATTTTTTCATACTTACTTGCACTATACAGCAACTACCTCATCTATTTGTGACAGAAAGTAGTGAATTGTTTGGGTATGGGTAAGCCTCTCAGCAGACCAGACTGCCTGAGAAAAAACCCTTCATGCATGGGGAAGGGGGAGGAGGAGGACCTGAACATTGATGACTGTTATGTGCCCCAGAGGTCCATCTACGACACAGTGCGACTCAATGAGCAGATTGACTCCAGCTCCAAAGGCAGCCTCGCCTCTAGACACTTCACTGGCACCTTACCGTACACACAGCGCCCCCTTGACTTTAGCAGTCTGTGTGGAAATGGAGGTTTGTCTGCCTCCAGTTCATTTGAAATGCGCACCAGAAAAGCCGCCATGTTGGATGAGCGTGCGGTATTTGATGGACTTAAGCTCAATGGGAATATAATAAGAGCTTCAGATACAGTGTTACCCAAGTCACGACTTCAGGGGGGAGAGAAGAAGGACTTTCCTCATCACCGGCGCTCATGGAGGGCATTTGCTCCAACAAATCTGGGCGAATACATCAGCCGCAGTGGGACCCTGTGCTCTGGGGGCTCTGACAGGCCTGCTCTTCTCAATGGCAGGAGGGGACAAAGTATGACCAGCTCCCTGACATCTGAGGAAGACTCTGGACTGTACAGCCCCACTGTGGACAGAGACCGACATGCTCACCACCCCAACAAAAGAGTGGGTCCTGGGACAAGGAGCCTGTCCTCTTCAGAGGCCATGCACATGTCTGGAGAGTTGAAGACTGGGCGCTCGCTCAGCTCTGGACAGGAGGACTTCCTCTACTCTCCTGCAAGGGACAGTGTATCGCTGTACCACAGTCATAGCCTGGTACAGGAGGGGAGGCACAATAAACTCAGTTTAAAAGGAAAGGACAGGTTTTCCTCAGGTTCAGGGTCAAGAGTTCAAAGTTTAGGTTGGCGTTCAAAGAGAGACTATGAGGAGCAGTCCACTGCGGAGCTGCTGGAGGATGTGCCCAGTGCAGAGGACTGTGAGCTGGTCAGTGTGGTGGTCACTCAGCCTGAGACTTACGGCAACTCTGTAACATTACCTATCGAGAGCCGCCAGAGAACAAAAACCCCTAACCCTCAGCTGGGAGCATCCCAGTACAGCCTGGAGGAGCTGGAGGAGTTTCTGCAGTCTGTGGAGGCCTGTCTCCCCAAATGTTTAGAGGAGCTACAGCAGGCTGGACAGCACGAGATCGAGTTCTTTCTGAATGCCATAGCTGCATGTTCGGACTTAGACACAACAGGTCCCCCGAGCCCTCAGGTGCCTAAAATAAGCCCTCTTCTACTATGGGGTTTGACGGATTAACAGGGTCAGCAAGGGGTTCATACAATGTATGGCATTTTGATTAATGTTTTCTGATGTTTCCCTTTCATATCTCATTACATGACTGTCAATTTAGTTTTACTAAATACAGACCTGGTGGTCTGAGTGATTATTTAAGCTGTTCTTGGGCAGTCAGCCGCAGCCAAACACTTGATCTTTTTAATGCTTATTATTTCAAAGATTAATCTCCAGTTCTTGTTTCTGTCTGGCTGTAGGCATTCCAAAAAGAAGACATTGACCCTTTGCAAGCACAGCTTCAAGATATCAACTCACTAGGCCAGAGTCTGATCCAGAGTGCTGCAAAAGGCACCTGCACAAAGAAGTTAGAGGGAGATTTGGAGGATGTTAATGGCAAATGGAATACTCTAAATAAAAAGGTTTGATTACTCTAAAAAATGACATTGGTACTACCACTGACTTTTTATCATCTTATCATATATCACTAACATCTATTTACCCTGTTCAGATTGCTGAGCGCTCAGCCCAATTGCATGAATCCCTGTTGCATTGTGGAAGATTTCAGGATGCTCTGGAGTCTCTCCTTAGCTGGCTCACTGACACAGAAGAGCTGGTGGCCAATCAGAAACCACCCTCTGCAGAGTTCAAAGTGGTTAAAGCACAGATACAAGAGCAGAAAGTAAGTGTATTCTCTGTTTTATTTACACACTTTGTACAACTCTGCTCAGCATCTCCCACATTAAACTCATAGTAGCCATACAGATATATAGCCTTTTTATCAACCATTTCTCTTACTTGGTGGTCAAGTATTGTCAAAAGGCTTGTTTAATACAAAGCATTTAATTTAATGGAAAATCGGTGGGACTTGTTAGATTTACTGTTTTTAACAAAGACATAGTCCTAGGCTGTAATGATGCCCTATAACTCCTCTCTTTGTTTGTGTGTGACAGCTCTTACAGAGACTGCTGGACGACCGTAAACCAACAGTGGAGCTTATAAAGAAGGAGGGAGGCACACTTTCTGAACTGACAGAGGCTGTGGAGAAAGAAAAGGTTGCTAAAGAAATTGAGTGCTTGGGGCAAAGGTGGGATACTCTGCTCAAGAAGGCAGAAAACAGGTTTGTATTTTGAAACATGTAACACACTGTTATGATTCATCCAGTGGTGGCAAATTTCTACAGTTACAAGTATTTATTTATCACATTAAAGAGCACATTTATTTGGAACTTCATTAGCTTCCATAAAATGGTCACTAGTTCTTTAGTACAAATATATCTAAAGAGGGGACATTATGCAAATTTGACTTTTTGTAGCTTTCTGCTATGATATAATGCTCCCTCATGACCACAAACCTGATGCAATGTGCTATGTGTAGTTTCATTAGCGCAATCCACGCCAATTGTAATGTGATTATGCGCTGAAGTGGGAGTGACTTAGTGCAGAGAGCAAAGGGAGGCAGGACTCACAGCATCAAAAATAATAGTTAAACATGTCAATATGTTGTTTCTGTCAATGTGGCATTTTCAAAACCATAAAAGGTAGCATCGTGATCTAAATATGTGGTGTTAGAAAGTTATTTTCTATAGATGTGGAATACCCCTCGATAATAATTACAAATGAATAATTAGTTCATACATTGTGTTCCAGACATAAGCAGCTAGAGAGCATCCTGGTGGTCACTCAGCAGTTCCATGAGACTCTGGAGCCACTCAGTGAGTGGCTTTGTGCCACTGAAAAACTCCTCTCACACTCTGAGCCCATCGGCACAGAGACATCCAAACTGGAGAAGCAGATTTCCCAGCACAAGGTAATGGATCCCCTCACAACTTTTGTTTGGCTTTGTTTGGCACATTCATCATTTTTAGTTTGTCTTTTTCGTTTACCTTTTACATTCATCCTTATTGTTTTATGTTTGTGTGTGTGTGTGTGTTTTTTTTTGTTTGTTTTGTTTTGTTTCTTTTATCATTTTACACCAATTTCCTTGTTTGGACCCATCCCTGGCCAGGCCTTAGAGGAGGAGATCATGAAACACAGTAAAGACTTGTTTCAGGCGGTCAATCTGGGTCAGATGTTAAAAACAGTGAGCTCTGTGGACGATAAGGAGTTTGTTCAAAACAAACTGGATACAGCCCAGTCTGGTTACATAGAGCTCCAGGAGAGGTGTAGGAGAAAGGCCGAGATGCTGCAGCAGGCCCTGTCCAACGCGCAGCTCTTTGGAGAAGACGAAGTGGCGCTCATGAACTGGCTCAGTGAAGTGCACTCCAGATTGAGTCAAGTCTCTGTTGAGGACTACAGGACAGACATGCTCGAAAAACAACTCAAAGACCAAAGGGTACACACTCCTACCTCAGGCCAAACTTTACTTTTGTTATATTTAAGTTAATCCATGTTATCTATCATTTTATACTTAATTTCTGACAGAATTGAAGGCTGTCAGAAGGCTGTTGAATGATATGACATTTTATATTATTGTATACTAATAATACTGTATTTCATATACAGATGTTACAAAGTGATATTGAGCTGAGAAAGAAGAACGTGGACCAAGCCATTTTTAATGGGATGGAGCTTCTGAAACAAACAACAGGCATGTCTTTAATACTGTTACACTCCAAACCAGAAACAAGATCCCATGGTACTATTAGGTCTAAATAACTGATTTATCTTAAATAATTCTGTGGAACATGGATGAAGTGTACAAATGAGTAAATTTGCCGTAGTCCCTATTTCCTAACTAGTATTACTCAATAAATTGCCTCCTCTCTCTCTCTCCTTAGGTGATGAGGTGGTTGTAATTCAGGGCAAACTGGATGGAATTAAAACAAAGTATGCCGAGATCAACACAATGAGTGACAATGTACTCAAAACACTGGAAAAGGTCTTAGGTCTTTCGACACAACTGCACCAGACTCATGCGGATCTGAACAACTGGCTCGAAAAGGTTGAAGCTGAGATTAATGCATTTTCTGGTGTCAGCGATCAGCTCAGTGATGTTCAGACTAGGAAAAAGGTATGATATAGAAGTAATTATATGCTATAGTATTAATAATGTAAATATGCAAATGTATATAGACCTTTCTTTAACTGTAATGCTATTCATCTGTGCAGGATTTGTTGCAAGAGACTAAGAGCAACAAACCAGTGGTAGATAAGATGAATGAGTTGAGTTGCTCCCTCCTGGATCTGATCCCCTGGCATACTCGGGAAAGCCTGGACAAACTGGTCACTGAAGATAATGAGCGCTATAAAAGTGTTTGTGATGACATCGGCCAACAAGTTGACCAGATCAATGCAGATATACTCAAATCTCAGCAGGTACAGGAAATAGTCTCTTTTTTCTAGCCAATCCTTACAACGTCTTAGAAAATGTGTTAATTGTAATGTGATCTATTGTAATATCTTCTACATCTAGTTTGAACAGTCGGCTGATACTGAACTCGCTTGGCTGACTGAAGCGGAGAGGAAGTTACTGTGTGTAGATGAGATCAAACTGATGCAGGACCAAACCACTGCACAGCTTCAAGCCCAGAAGGTTCAGCTCTGTTTTTGTGCACAATAATCCTTTACCCAGTGTAAGTAAACACTGGCTTTTATCTAGTCTCTAACCCACTTGACTGGTTTTTCAGATGTTCTCTATGGACATCATGAGACACAAAGATGCTGTGGATGACATTGTGAGGACAGGAAAAGCTGTAATGAACAACAGAAACCCAGAGGGAAAAGAAACAATAATGGTACTGTATAACTGGTTACATTCTTGTGGAAGAAAAGATAAATAAAAAGTAACATAAAAGTTTTTACACAGGCTAAGACACAAGCCCTCCTGGAGAAGTACGGTGTTGTCAGTCAGCTAAACTCTGAGCGCTGTCTGCAACTGGAGCGAGCCCAGTCTTTGGCTGCTCAGTTTTGGGAAACGTATGAAGAGATGTGGCCATGGCTTCAGGAGACTCTAAAGGCATTCAGTCAGCTGCCTCCACCCGCTATTGAATACGAGACACTTAAACAACAGCAAGAGGAGCTCAGAGTAAGAACAAAAACATACCCAATACCTAATTAACAATTATGAGTTATGTATGTGTAGTTATATGTATGAGTTATGGCATGTGCTAGCTACCGTATATTTGAATTTCTCCTATAAGATCAATAATGTATCTGTCTATTAGAGCTGTAGTCTTTTAGTTGTTTTGCTGGTTAATCGGCCAATTGTGGACTAATTATTTTATTATGATTAAAAAGATATGCACATCAGAAGAAAGAATACACTGAGGGAGTTAGCTAGAGTTTTGGAGGTGACTGGATACTTTAATCTACCTTTTCAATAATGAATTGTTTGAATATGTCCTTCTTTAGCAAATGCGAGAGTTGATCGCTGAGCACAAGCCGCACATTGACAAGATGAATAAGACGGGTCCCCAGATGCTTGAACTGAGCCCAGAGGAGGGAGCCCACATCAGAGAAAAGTACACCATAGCAGACCAGCTCTATACACAACTCAAGGCCGATGTCAAACAGAGAGCTGCCACTTTAGATGAAGCTATCTCCAAATCCACACAGGTGAGAATCAACACAATCAACACAATGTAACATCTACATCCTGTGTACTTAAAATTCTGCTGGGTTTCACATACAGTCCCATCAGAATAAATCAAAAATATTTAATACAGATGGGGGCAGCTAAAATCAATATTGTTAAAATGTGAATTGTTGTACTTAACATAGTGCCGGGGTCTAGTAACTAATAGAAATCATGAGGTTCAACATGTGAATTTACCTTTTTTATACTCAAAAAAATATTTTCATACTTGGATGAATAAAAAACAACCTTCCCTTTTAGATATTTCCAATGCAAATGTCAAGTAATAGAGAAAACTGACTCTTGCTCCTATTTGAGAGTGTGACATCATCAAATCTGACCACAAATAATACATTCAATTTTATAATATTTCTGTTTCTATCCAGTTCCATGACAAGATCGACCCCATGCTTGAATCTTTGGAGAGAATTGCTGAGCGTCTGCGTCAGCCTCCATCCATCTCAGTGGAGGTAGACAAGATTAAAGAGCAGATATCAGAAAACAAGTCTGTGTCAGTGGACCTAGAGAAACTTCAACCTTCATATGAGATGCTGAAGCAAAGAGGAGAAGAGATGGTGGCCCGGTCGGAAGGGGCAGACACATATACATCTGCTAAAGGTAGGCTGTACCCTGTGGGAATGATAGGGGTGGGATGAGGCACATTTCCCACAAGATGAGATTTTGACAAAGAAATGCTGCAGTTCAGTTCACATTTTTTGATTTATTTAATATTTTGGCTGCCATTGTACAGTTTTTCACAAGAGTGCACAATCTTGTAGCAATTTTATCTTATGAGATCTGGTCCCATCCATAGAAAATGACTTCAGTTGTCAGTATTAATGGTATTGATATTTATTATGGTTTGTGCCACAAGTTGTGCAAGACAAACTGGACCAGATGGTGTTCCTGTGGAATGACATCCAAGCTCTGGTGGAGGAGAGAGAGGCGAAGCTCTTGGATGTGATGGACCTGGCGGACAAGTTTTGGTGCGATCACTGTGCTCTCATAGTGACCATCAAAGACAGCCATGACTTGCTGAAGGAGCTGGAGGAGCCTGGAGTGGACCCTTCTGTAGTTAAGCAGCAGCAGGAATTTGTGGAGGTAAGAATAATGACAAAATAAATAATCAGTTCATCCCTGATGTAAGATAGATAGGAACATGGATATTTTGTTGATTAATCTGTCAAATTTGACTAAATATTTGGTTGGGATTTGTTTGAGGCATGGAATGAGTTAGCTGGAGATTTATGAATATATTCTTTTTACACAAAGATATGCACTTTTCTTATCTTGTCTATACACTTTAGATCAAAAATATTGTTGCATCACAGAGATTTTTGCTAATGCCATACAGGTTGACCAAGAATTTCTTTAGCCGATTACATCCCTAGATATTTGTACTTTGTATTTTCAGGGCTTTAAGGAGGAGATTGATGGACTACAGGAGGAACTTGATGCAGTTCAGAACCAGGGAGCTGAGCTGATGGCTGCCTGTGGAGAGCCCGATAAACCTGTTATAAAGAAAAGCCTTGATGAGGTAATTGTTTCTTTATTATGAGAAAGTGTCTTCTCTTATATGTTTGATTTCACATTTTAAATTGTGGATTCAGGTGGCATCAGCCTGGGAGAGTCTGAATAAAACCTGGAAGGAGAGAGGGGACAGACTTGAAGAAGCCATGCAGGCCGCTGTGCAGTTTCAGGATGGGCTACAGGTATAATTCTAGTTTTAGTCTTAATATTAAATTGTGATTGATTTTGTAAAGATAGACTATAGCAGTCTGCCTCATTTAGATGTTTTGAAATGTGTAGTCCTATACATTTTCATTTCAATTTAGCTAATTAGCACCTTCCGTGGAATTCACTGAGCCTGAGCCAACAATTCTTTTATAGTGAAAAGCTAAAACTGCTGGGGACTTCCCAATTTCAGATGGTGACTCACTCACTCAGACAGTTTGATATCAACAAGTGACAAAGTCAAAAGTTTGACAGTGTTAGCTGATAGCACCACCTAAAGCCAAGAGATAGAGTTACTGATGTTAGTTTGTGTCAGTAATGTGTCAGTAATGTTTGTGGTTTTGCAACAAAAGTAAAACCCTGGGGACAAACATTGAAAAAATATGAATTTCTCTCAGTGTCTAGTGTTAAAATTTATGAATTCTTATAGAACAAATGTCACCGGAGACATTATGAATGGTGATAATGTGTTGATATGAGTGCTTCTTCCCTGAGGATGACTGTAACGGAAAAGTGAAACCTGATTCTTTGAGAAAACCTGTTTTGTCCTGAACAATGGTTTCTCTACTCTGCACACAGGGAATGTTTGACTGGGTTGATATTCTGGAAAACAAACTGGATTCAATGTCACCTGTTGGCACCGACCTGGAAACTGTCAAGCAGCAGATTGTGGAGCTCAAGGTAACATCCTCTCTTTAGTACTTCTAGTGTATTTGTTGTCCATGTCCCTGACCATGGGTCACATTAAATAACCTTAATCTACTTTATGAAAATGAGCTCTGCTGTTTCTTTTGTTTACACACTGATTCTTTGTGCCTAATGTTTACGGACTGTGTGTCTTTGTGCCAGGAGTTCAAAGGAGAGGCGTACCAGCTGCAGATAGAGATGGAGCGCTTGAACCACCAGGCTGGACTACTGCTGAAGAAGGCCACAGAGGAGGCAGACCGCTGCGCCATCCAGGAGCCCATGTCTGAGCTCAAGATGCTCTGGGACAATCTGGATGAGAAGACCATCAGCAGACAAGTATGTTCAAAAGGACTTAAAATCTCCAGGCTTTCACAGATAGATTTATATGTTATGCCTGTCAAGTGTCGTGCTTTTCAGTAATAATAATGTTTTAATCTGTGATTAATCCAGCACAAACTGGAGGCAGGCCTGCTGGCACTGGGGCAGTTCCAACACGCTCTGGATGAACTGTTGGCCTGGATGAGCCACACAGAGGAGCTCCTCAATGAACAAAAGAAGACTGGAGGAGACCCCAAAGCCATGGAGATAGAGCTTGCCAAACATCATGTAGGATACATGTTCTACTCTCAAATTTACAAATACAAAAGTACTTTGAAATATTAAGGGCATCAATATTTAATCCATACTAACAGAGTAAAAAGAATGTGATCAGTGCATCCTCAGTGAATAAAATTTGAATTTCACTATATTGCAGGTTCTACAAATAGATGTTTTGGCTCATCAAACCACTGTTGAGACTGTGAACAAAGCTGGTAATGACTTGGTGGCCTCTAGCGCTGGAGAAGAGGCCTCTAGTCTGAAGAGCAAACTTGAGAACTTGAACCTTAGGTGGAAAGCCATCCTCGAGAAGACTGAGCAGAGAAAACAGCAACTAGAAAGTGCTCTGCTCCAGGTACAAAGAATGATGTTTGGTGATAAAAGTTACAATTTACTTATAACTTGAGAGACATTTGAGTTTTCCAATTTATGCATTGATTTTCTATTTAGTGGCTTTGAATGATAAATGAATTAGTTGAATATAATGACCTGGACATCTTTCTCTCTGAGCATAACAATGCGTGTGGGTGACACATTTTGTCCTGACTCAGGTTGTATTGTGTTGCAGGCTCAAGGTTTCCATGGAGAGATAGAAGATATGCAGCAGTGGCTCAAAGACACCGAGCGTCAGCTGTTGGCATCAAAGGCAGTGGGAGGCTTACCAGACACGGCCCGGGAGCAGCTTAACGCCCATCTGGTATGTGTTTAACAATATGAAAGGCTGTATGCAGATGGCAGCTTCGTAAGGAGACAGCTATGTCTTTTCTGTGTTCAGACCGAAGTGTGAAAATCGAATGACACTGCTAAACACACAATGTCTATCAGTCACGCCTAAAATAACAAAAGCCCCTGAAGTGTTTCTAATTGATTTGGCCATAGCGGAGTCTAATATATTTAGGAATGTCTTCTTCCCTTTAGGGGTTTATTGCTTCCTAATCACTTTCTCTGTGAGTGATTCCTCAAAACCATGGTCTGTGTAATCTTACATGCATTGAAGCAGGAAGTTATAACTATTTCTCATAGAGTATAACAAGCCTATAACAACTGCAGATTTTAACGTGCCTCAGCTATTTTTTTTTTATCTAAATCTAAGAGACATGTCATGGAGACGTCAGATACACTAGTGAAAAGTGGCTGTGGCTAAAACCAAACTATTTAAATGGTCTTGATCACTAACATGTGTCTATGCAGGAGCTGTGTTCTGCCTTTGAGGCAAAGGAGGAGCTGTACCAGGAGCTCATCAACAAGGGTCAACAGCTCCTGTCTGTGATGCCTGAGGGCCCAGACAGCAACACAGAGCAAGACCTCACCAATCTGATGGAGAAATGGGAAACTGTGAAGGCTAAGATCGCAGACAGAAAGGTTAGACTGTGATGTGCTGTGTGCTATTGGGACTGCACAGTGTCAGGCAGATAGATGCTGATGTGATTACCCTCTGTGAGTGTCATTATTTGTCAGTCAGCTGTTTCTGTCCTAATGCACATATTCTTCTGGGAGGTACAGGATGTGGTTAGAGAGAAGCATGTGTGTTTTCTCTGAGTCACTATCAAACAACTGTTTCCAACAGCTAAGTCACTAATAATATCCTCATAAGGATACAACAGTGTTGTAAGTGTTATAATATAGTAACTTATACTATACAAAATATATACTATATATATAATTTTATATAAACTTAATATAAATAATTATTTTAGCCATCTGCTTATAACTCCAGATATTGCAAGTTTGATTTTAACATGTTTATTTCCTTTGATCCAGTTCCAAAGTATTTGGCACCTGACAATTCTTGGATCAGTATCTGCTGGTCTGTGATGTGACATTTAAACGTGCATTGTTGTGAACACTGAGAACTATTTTCCAAATGGAGTACACATCCTTTGTTCTAAAAACATAAATGAAAGACAGGTTAACTATAATATATTAAAACATTAGATTTGTAACGTCATCAACACTGAATTAGTGGTCCGTAATTACCCCGAACCACCAGTCTTGGCTGTAGCAAACGGATGTTGTTCAGTGCTGCTGTTTTCTCATTAAATTAAAACCTCATTGCCTCACCATTAGCCTGTCCGGAGACATTAACTTTGTTAACAAGAGAATAGAAAAGGTCAAAGTTATACTCTGGTAACCCCTTATTAAATGTAGAAGTTGTTTTCTAATTAATATATCAATATATTGATTTTCCAAGTGGCAATGACCCCTTTATTTACAGGTTAAACTGGAGGAGGCTTTGACTCTGGCCACAGATTTCCACAACTCACTGCAGGATTTCATAAACTGGCTAACCCAGGGCGAACAGACACTAAACATGGTGTCACCAGCTTCACTCATTTTAGAGACCATACTGTTTCAGATCGATGAACATAAGGTATGTCCTCACACAATTACAAAAATACAGAGATGCATTAAAAAAAAATATATTTTTAAAATAAATTTTATATTGCTTACTATTTGTGCAGATCTTTATAACAGAGGTAAACGCACATAGGGAGCACATAATTGAACTGGACAAAACCGGGACACAGCTGAAATATTTTAGTCAGAAACAAGATGTAGTTCTTATTAAAAACCTGCTGATCAGTGTGCAAGGCCGCTGGGAAAAACTAGTCCAGAGGTCTGTGGAGAGAGGTCGGCTGCTGGACGATGCAAAGAAAAGGGCAAAACAGGTAAAGAGAGTGTGGCTAAAAAAATATGGAAATTGTATATATTTTGTGGTGTAAAAGAGGGCTTTTATTTTCTCTCTGTTGTTCTATTCTCTCTTATTCCCCAGTTTCATGAAAGCTGGAACAAGCTGATGGAGTGGTTGGATGAGTCTGAGAGGAGCCTGGACTCAGAGGTGGAAATTGCGAATGAACCAGACAAAATCAAGATTCAACTGGCCCAGCACAAGGTAGCTTAACTTAATCAAACACTGGATTATGTTAATAATGTTGAGCTCTGTATTTAGGTATATAAAGTGGTGAGGTTCTTCAGTGGATATACACAATAGATTAGTCATGTCCTTGTTACAGATTGTCCATGTTGACTACACTGTGTTAATCCTATCTCATTCATGGACTAAACCAAATGTATTAAAAAATTATCTTGCTTTGGGATAGGATGGCTCTTCCCTTCTGACCTAATTTTCTTGACACATAGTACTGCAATGTTTTTGTGCAGATGTGTCCTTTTATTGTTGCATATGATTTTCTTTGTCATGCAGGAGTTTCAAAAAGCTCTGGGCAGCAAACACTCTGTTTATGACACCACATCACGAACAGGCCGGGCCCTAAAGGACAAGACCTCCCTTCAGGATGACCATCAGAAACTGGACGACATGCTGAGTGAACTCAGAGACAAGTGGGACACTGTCTGTGGGAAGTCCGTTGAGAGGTATGAGTTTGTACTGCATTTGTACTGTAACTAGTGTCAGATACATCTGAAGCACGATTTCAAACTCATGATGATTTGTGCTTCTAGACAAAACAAGCTGGAGGAGGCCCTATTGTTCTCGGGACAGTTCACAGATGCGCTGCAAGCCCTCATTGACTGGCTGTACAGAGTGGAGCCTCAGCTGGCTGAAGACCAGCCAGTTCATGGAGACATTGACCTTGTTCTAAACCTGATAGACAACCACAAGGTACAACACACCACACAATCATGTTCTCAATACTCTTTTATGAGGTAGATTTAACGAGCAACTTCAAAGATAGAATTTCCCTTTTTAATTTATTGTTCATGATCACAATAATACATTTGACATGGGAACGAAACAATCATTTAACAACTAAAAGATTCAAGATACCTGTGTTTCAAGGTTTGGATATTTATAGAAATAACTAAATGGAATAGTGTTAATATTCCTGAAATCTTGCGACAGGTTTTCCAGAAGGAGATGGGGAAGAGGACAGTTGGTGTTCAGGCACTTAAGCGTTCAGCTCGGGAGTTGGTGGACAACAGCCACGATGACACCTCATGGGTCAAAGTTCAGATGCAGGAGCTGAGTACGCGCTGGGACAGTGTGTGTAACCTGTCTGTGTCTAAGCAGGCCCGCCTGGAGCAGGCTCTGTGTCAGGTACCACCCTAACACTCTCACCTTTAATAACTCTCAGGGGACAGGGAGTCTCATGTGTGCTACTCTTCTAGGCTGAAGAGTTCCACTCATCAGTCCACATCTTGCTGGAGTGGCTGGCTGAAGCTGAGCAGAGTCTGCGCTTTCACGGCACTTTACCTGATGACGAAGAAGCACTGAAAACACTTATTGAGCAGCATAAGGCAAGACAATTTTTCTAACAGTTACCTAGTTCATCCTTCATATACAGTATATAATGTAATGCTATTGGATTTTTGTTCAGGACTTTATGAAAAAACTGGAGGAAAAGAGAGTGTCCCTCAACAAAGCCACAGCAATGGGAGAAGCTATTCTGAGCATTTGCCATCCCGACTCTATCACAACTGTCAAACACTGGAACACCATCATCAAAGCTCGATTTGAAGAGGTCAGGGTTGTACTAGTATATGAAGCAGGTTGTAACTTTTATTTTTCTTTACATACTAAGCTAGGTTTCTAATATTGGCACACAGGTGCAAGCCTGGAGCAGACAGTACCAGCAGAGACTGGCCACAGCTCTGACCGAGCTATTAGCCACTATGGATCTGTTGGACAAACTGCTAATGTGGCTGCAATGGGCAGAAACCAACCTCGACGATAAAGACAAAGAAACACTTCCAGAGGAGATAGAGGAGATAAAAAAGCTCATCGCAGAACATCAAGTAATTTTAATCTATTAATTCTATTTTATCACTCAAATTGACAACACGTTATCATTTTAAACCCTTGTTTTTCCCTGAAGGCATTCATGGAGGAAATGACAAGGAAGCAACCAGACGTGGATAAAATTACAAAGACACACAAGAGGAAGCCTACCATAGAGCCTCATGTCCAGTCACATATCCCAGTGCTGGAAAAGGGAAGAACAGGAAGTAAGTACCTTTAAGAGGGCGTGTCCAGTGTCATCTGGCACAGTGTTGAGTCAGTGTGCAGTACACCACCTGGCATGATGTCAGTGCTGCTCTATGCCTGCAGTCTGCAGTTGTTTTGTGATGAAAGAAACCTAATGATTACATGCTGAAAAATCACTTTTTACTTCCAGGAAAACGCTCTCCCACACAAACAATGTATACAGCAGCCACACAGGCTCCTATAGAGACCAAGAACCCACAGGTGAACCTACTGGTCAGCAAGTGGCAGCATGTCTGGCTACTGGCTTTAGATCGGAGAAGGAAACTAAATGATGCTTTGGACAGACAAGAGGAGGTAACGTGTCATCAGAACAGTATTTCAAGAATGATTATTGTACCCCTACAGTCTTTGGTACATGTCATCTTAAATTATTATTTGTGCAGCTGAAAGAATTTGCCAACTTTGACTTTGATGTGTGGAGGAAGCGCTACATGCGGTGGATGAACCACAAAAAATCCCGAGTCATGGATTTCTTCCGCCGTATGGACAAAGACCAGGACGGCAAAGTGACACGACAAGAGTTCATCGAGGGCATCCTGTCCTCCAGTGAGTCTCATAGAAACAGTTTTCCATCAGTCACTTGTGATCCTAACCATATCCATGTTATTATCCATGCTGACCATATTTTATCTCCTAGAATTCCCAACCAGCCGACTGGAGATGAGTGCTGTGGCCGACATATTCGATAGAGATGGGGATGGTTATATAGACTACTATGAATTTGTGGCAGCTCTACATCCCAACAAAGATGCTTACAAGCCCTTAACTGATGCAGACAAAATTGAAGATGAGGTAAAAAAATAATAATATAACATAACATAGAAATGTAGCTTATAATATGATCAGTGCACTTTGAAAACACTGTTCTCTGATTAGGTCACACGGCAAGTTGCAAAATGCAAATGTCCGAAACGTTTCCAAGTGGAACAAATTGGAGCCAACAAATATCGAGTAAGCAGATTTTTACTTCTAACAGTAATTTCAAGATAGTGAGTAATTGTGTCCACTTCCATCAAAAGTCTAACCTTTACCATTTCTGCTCCTCATATCACCAGTTTTACCTTGGAAACCAGGTACACTGCCCTCTTCCTTGACTCTCCTTCTGTTCTGTGCCTTGTCAAGCCTTTCACATTTGCCCTATTTGCTCTACAATTAACACTCCCAGGCCAGATTCCTGCCTGATTCTTGACTGGAACTCAGAAGTAGAAAAACAATACTTATTTTAATGCAGATATTTTACTTAAGGAAATACTGGCCACTCTTATATCAGTCATATACTAAGTACAATTATTAAACTTAGAGTGGTCTGCTTTTGAGTTTCAGGAAATCATATTTGAAAACATATTTCTGTTAGTCCATGGTACATTTACTCATCAGCTGGGCCGCTTGGTAAATAATGCTTTCTGTGTGCTTGCCTTGCCTTTGCTTAAGCTTAATATTGGCTGGCTAACCTTATTTTATTTTCATATAAATATTCATATTTTGGGCATTTCTAAAGTAAGCTATGCACTGGTTATTTTTACTTTGCAAATATCTTAAAGGCTGCATGGCAAAACATTACAGTATATGATTCATTACTAATAAAATATGTCTCATGCTTTCTGAAACTCTTAGCTGTAAGGCTGGTGGGAGGTGTGATTGATGCGATAGTGGCACCATAAGGATACAGTATAAGACGTTTGTGATTGTATAACACTACATTGAACCCAAGTAACTCTTTTGACAGTTTGGTCTCGTTCACTGCTTACATGACTCCATAATCGGCGATGAGACTATAGCAAACAGGGAAAATCACAATCATACCTCACACCTACACGTTGAAGTATTGGAAAGCTGTATACTGGTAACTTTTAAACTGGTTAAGATGTTTCGTGTCCATTTGAATAAATCCATCACCTTAATGTATTTAATCACAAAGTTCACCATTAAATCATATTGACGATCAAGCTATGCAACATTATTAGCCGTGTGAGCCATATTCCAGTCTGCCGGGAGCCATTGGTGTATGATCATGTTTGCGTGTGACACTGTTGTGGATTGTAATGATTTAAACCATTGGTCATGTCGTGTGTCATCAGAGCGAGCTGCTGTGGCTCTCATCACTGTCAATGCGTTAGCTGTGTGCTAGTGGACTGCAACACTGGACTGCAGGAGACTGTTGTACTGTTTGAATGTGAAATGTGAATTGCGAGAAAGCATGCCGCTGTGATTATTGTCTGAAAATGTGATTGAGCTGAACTTTGGTCTCATCCAACTGGCTTGCATTTGGCTTGTGTCACCCTATTCTGAAACCACAGAGAGCTAGCGTTTACCTTCAAAGTAAATCCATTAAACGAAACAACGCCTCCCCCTACTGGTAATGTGCATGTAGTGCCTGACTGTAAACAGAAAAAATTCAAAAACTGTGACAATGAAACAAGATGTATTGCAGATGCTATTCTCTGCTTACATAAACTGCTTTTACTGCCACATACTGCTGAAGACACAAACAAATGAAAGTCAGTAGGATTGAGCATTCAGTGTCTGTGATGCTGCTGTGTGAAATAACCTCAAATCAATCCTATCCTCACAAAGCTTATTCTCTCTATAAGAATGCATGTATCGATTATGTGTTTGTGCTCTAGTTTGGGGATTCCCAGCAGCTGCGTCTGGTGCGTATCCTGCGCAGCACAGTCATGGTTCGGGTTGGAGGAGGATGGATGGCTCTGGATGAGTTCCTTGTCAAAAATGATCCTTGCAGAGGTAAATTTAATAAGCCAAGGAATGGTTAAATTCTGCCAACAATCATTTATTTGAGGTCTCCTATTTCAAGGAAAACTATATCTTTTATTTATTCCTCACGTATTGGAAACTGTACTCATTTAGAGTCCTAGAAGGAAAATACTATACTGGATACTTAATTACTCTTGAGAGCAGGTATCTATTCTACTGCACTATATTTTAAAAAGTAGAAGTATTTTTTCTTGCTTTTTGAGAGACTGAGGACTTTTTATGTTTATGGTGGAAAAAAAAAAAGCATAATTCTTTATCAGCATTACAACATTCAACCCCTTAATAGTTTTCTAAATCTGCGTGAAATTCCTTTTTACTCTACATATTTAAAAGAATACTTCAAGACTTTTACTGGAGTAGGTTCTTGTCTATGAGACAGTGTTACTTACGTATTATCCCCTGTTTCTGTTCTTTTAATCGAGTAACTAATTTCTTCCACCACTATCATGCATTTAAATATATGGTGTTAACACATTTTCCAATGTTCCTTGTCTCAGCTTATTGTACTTTGCAACATCCAGCTTCTCTTTCACTGTAACCTCCATTATTTCTTGCTACTCCCTAAAACTCTGCTGAATAATATTATTTCTTCTAGTTCATCACCACGGGAGCAAAATGTTGCGCTCGGAATCAAACTCTTCGATTACTCAGTCTCCTATAGGTTGGCAAATCTCAAACTTACTCTCGCTCCTTCATGAACCCTCCTGTGGTATGTGTGCACTGAGTGGAGCTGCTTGTGTTTGGGGTGGACTGTAAAACTGTGTGTCTCATCTCCAGCGGCCATCCTCACTCACCATCACTCAGTGTTCATGCATGTCACTTCAGCAGCTCTTTATAATGGGCTCTCTCTTTTAGCATGTAGCAGGTGATGGTAGGCCCAGCTTCTTTGCAGGGTTTGCTTGACAATCATTCAAACAAACAACTAACAGTAATGAAATAAAGATGGGTACTTTGCTGACGGCAATTAAAATAGTGTTTGTTTGACACTGTGGTAGCTGCATGTTGTTCTAAATGTAGTGTTTTGTTTTTGTGGCACTTGCTTTTTAATTAAATTTTTTTTAATTGTTATTTTTACATTTGAATGTTTTTAGGTTCACTTTTCAACTCATGTTTTGAGTTGAGATTAACTACTTTTGGCTTTTGGGAAAACAAACGGAGTGTCAAATAAGTGTTTTCTTTTTCTTTTCTTTGTTTTTTTCATGCAATTTAGAATAGCTATATTTAAGAGCTTTGTTATCATCATCTCCATTATCATCTCTGCCAGAATAGACGTGTCTATGTTTAATGCTAAGGTTCACATATTTGATGTGATATTTTTCAGCTAAAGGCCGGACTAACATTGAGCTGCGAGAAAAGTTCATCCTCCCTGAAGGCACCACTCAGGTCATGGCCAGTTTCCGCTACAGAGGTCGTAGGTCACGGCCATCCTCCAGAGGCGCGTCACCAAACAGGTCTATGTCCAGTCAGAGCTGTCCCGCTCACCAGCCTGTGCCCGTGACAGGGACACCCAAGGTAAGAATCCACAGGGCTCCGCAAACACAATCATCTAATCATACCTGCCCTGTTCAGTTCATCTGTTATATTTGATTATCTCATCATTTGATTCATTTTGTCCGTCATGCTTTTTTTGTTTAGTTTTTGATTTCAATCCATTTGAGTGATTTGATTTGCCATTGTTCCCCAGACTCCCCAACAAATAACCCGCAATTATGATAAGCCATGGCTTACAAACAGCAAACCCTCCACTCCTCTTAAATCATCCGACTCCTCTGGGAGTTCACCTGCAGAGGTATAGTCACGTGTGATGCAGTCTGCTGTCCACCTCTCTCACTGACCCAGCTCAAACTTCAAATAAAAACCTTTCACATCTAATCTTAGATTTACTATATTCAATGTCACTGTGTCACTTCATATTTGGTCTTCACATTCTTTTCAACTCTTGTTTTTCTCTAACTGCTGCTGTGTCATAAATAATTGCATGCTGGATTTTAAAAGGTTTCCATTTCACAAATTTTTTTTATTTTTTTGTGATGTAATGCTTTGCAACTAAGCAATTTTCTGCTAAATTTAACTCAGTTACTGCCTCTTACAGAGTGCTCTAGTTCAAGGCAGCAAGTTGCGCCTTCCTGGATACTTGTCGGGGAAAGGATTCCAGTCCAGTGAAGAGGGAACTCTGATCAATGCTGCTGTGCTGAAGGCTCGCGCCCAGACTGCAGGCGGTAAGTACAGCCAGAGAAATCTGACCTTACATGGATGCACGGAGATGTGTTGAAGGATTCACTGTTTCATGAACTTGTTTACATATTTATGTAGTCTGTGTAATTTCAGAGTCAAAGAGAAACCTGAGCAGACCTGGAAGTAAAGCCGGGAGCAGAGGCAGCAGTCGCAGAGGAAGCGACGCATCAGACTTTGACATCTCAGATATTCAGTCCGTGTGTTCAGATGCTTCTGAGACTGTGGGCGACACAAGCCGGGCAACGCCCAGATGTACCCCTCGCCAACAGGGAGCGAAACCCTCCAAAATCCCCACGCCTCAGAAGAGAAGCACTCCAACTAGTAAACTGGCAAAGGCCTCAAAACGATAGGCCTTAAAATGAATGAAAGACGTTAGCTGCATCCAAACATGAGACAGACACTGGAAACACCAGATACTTAAAGACTGCAAATGTGTTGAGTGTTATTTAAACTGTTGCAAAAGATGTAAATTATTCTGTTAAGAGGCAATATGTTTTAATATTAAGTGCGAATGATTATGGCCTTGATTATTGGTTTGTATTTATTTTTTATTTTTGTGAAAAAGTCAGATTGTTTTTAAGGTATTTTATTGAAGCAAAACCTGTGCAGGTTTGATGAATACTAGAAAACTAAACTATTGTTTGTACACTAATAATGAAGGTAATGTGAGATAGTGCTCTGAGAGTTACTGAATGTACTGTATTTATGTATTTGCTCATATGTGACTGAGTGGTGCACTATTCAACCATTCAAGGCATCGCAGTTAACTATTTAAGTGCTATGCTAAACTGCCAACATGCATTCACGACAATGCAATATAACTTGAGCACTGCAAAAAACTTGTACTCTGTCTAGTTAAACCAAGTAGCATAACCCCTTATCACAGCGCTTCATCTCTGCAGCCCTGTTCAGTTTGACCACTTCAGCCTGTGCATTCACCTAAAGACGACACTTTATGTAAACATTCTTTGTGCATCCATTTGTCAGTGTATTTTTAATTTCGGTAGAACTGAAATTGTTCTTGTAAAATTAATTTGTAATAAATTGCTTGCACCAAGCTACCACTGAAACATATTAGCATGTGTGTTTTATATTTTATTTAATGACACATACTATTTTATTAGGAGATGGTGTAATATATAACCAATTTGGCTATACTGCCGAGCTTGTTCTACCAATAAGGACTGAGGGAGGACATGGAGTTAACGTGGACATCTTCTATCCCATCAAAAACCCAGGCACTCCTCATTATCACATTTTCTATAATGTTAAGTTCAGTTAAGTTTTCATTCAAACTGTATCATTACCTGAGTGGGTGAATGGATGTATGGATGCTGGGAGTGCGGGTGGGGCTCTCTGGTGGAATGTTTGCAGAGCAGCTGGAGTTTAGCTGTGACATACTACACTTGTCTCTCAGTGGGACTCTGCAGATACTGAAGCAATGCACACAATGAAAACTGTGCCAATTAACTGGAGCAAATATGTCATTCAATCAAGTATTTGTTCTTAAACAAACAATTTGTCCAATGCAGTAAATGCTGGGGCTTTCAGAATAATTTTAAGTGAAAAAGCTTGAATGCATTTCCATGAGTGATGGAGTCATTGCTCAACTGTTCACTGTGATGTTTGCTGACATGGGGCAGTTGCTATGTTCACCTACATTTGACTCGAGGGTAGTTGGCCTGCTGATAGACGTCCCAGTGGCCTATGGGGGCAGGCTGATCCCCTGGGGACCACCGGTGGAGTGGAGCACCGGGGTCACCGTAACAACACTTACAGAGCTCAGTTTGAATGGTTCTCCTGTTCAGCTCAGACACTGGCCCAGGGATGGTACTTTAGACTGGGAATATTTCCTAACACTGGGAAGAGACAACTTCCATGTGCTGGAAACAAAGGACTGTCTTTTTCAGGAATATGTAAGTAATTCTTTGTCACAGTATTCTATTATAATAAAAATGTATATGAAGTTGATGTATTGGGCAGAGGTTGAGAAAATTACATTATTCAATGGTAATAGATTGTGCAATGTATGTAGTAGTTTTATAATGTTCAGATAATTAAAATATTAATTAAATATTGAAAATATGTTTAACTGTTTAAATTACTTTCCTGGATGTTTCAGTCTTAAATATATATGTATATATAGTGAAAAAGAGTTAAAATGCACCTAGTAATATTATGAAGTGTAGCCAATAAAAAAGTAATGTGTAGTAATGTGCAAAATCTGGACTCACAGGTTTAGAAAAAGCTTTAGTTGTTTATGGGTGCAAGTTTCTGAAGCAAAACTGACCAAATCTATATCTATAAATATATCGTTCTACACAATATTATGTTTTTTATTGTAATTTAATATAACTTGTCTTTTTTGCTACACCACAGGCACTTATAGCCCCTCACAACTGACTTGAAAATGCCAGCTTCTAAAAGTCCGCTGGTGTTTGCAGCACTTTTTGTCATCTTTGGATTCACCCACAGTCAAAAGTTACTGAGTAAGTTTGAGATTTTCTGGTCAATTTTGTTTATTGTAATATAGTTTACCATTATGTCCCTGTATTATTTATTATCTCTGTATAAAATCTATAGAAGCAGGTCTCATTTGTTGAGCCGGCCCCGTTTAATCTGTTTAATGTTGTTGTAACAGAGCTCTACCAGCAGATGCCAGTGTTTGTCACAAAAGGCAGTTTATTTTCTCTCACAGCAGCTCATCTATTAAAGCTTCCTGTTGAATCTCCAGTGAACTGCCAGAGTTCACTAGGTCATGTGAGGTTAAGCTTATACACAACCCTGTGTTATTACACACTAACCACTTTGCATGTTTGTTTGTAAAACTCTCAGGGACTCCTTTAGAAACTCACTTTGTGTTACAATAAATAAACAATTAATAAATCACAGATATAATTAGATTACTTTGCAAGCTGTTTTTAGTTTTTATGTTGTTCAAGCACAATATAAAAACACATAATTCTTTCTAACTCCAAAGTCAAAATGGTTTAAAGTTTATCTCCCAATCATAACACTGATTTGCAAACAAATGCAGTAAGTTAAGGATACACTTTACCTTAATATTTGTGAAGGTAAAGACATCAGCATTCAGTACTTAGTAGAGTTGGTTGTGTGAATGAAGAAGGTTTTATCATTTAAATTGTGTTTAACTAAATTAAATCACACCCTGCCCCAAGTTCAAGTCAACACAGTAAACCATTGTTGTGTAAATACATGAACATAGATACTACATCATGTTTATAGTGAGAGAATAGTAACTTTTCTGTCACCTGACTTTGCCACTGACCTTGGTTCTGTGAGGTTTTGACTTGCTGGAGGAGTTCCGTGTGCCTGAGTCCAGAGGAGTGAGGAGAGTGGACGGCTCCAAACCAGAAGCAGTGGCCTACCGCATCAACCCCTCCATCCACCTGCGAAAAACCACAAGGTAAACTTTGGCTCTACCAGCTTCCACATGCTCCCTCCAGCTAGGTCGCGAGTTCTGCTTATGTGGCGAAATATTTTGAGGGGAGAATCACTTCTGGATTGCATTGTTTTGTATTTGATCATAAAGCATGCAGACTGAACCCACAGACACCCACAAAGAAATGTGAGTACTGATGTTGCTTTAGTATAAACAGACTGGCATTCATCATTTTTGCTTACTCCTCACAGGGTCTGTCAAAATAACATGTTTTGAAGTTTTGATATATTGCAACAAAAAATATAGCGATACTCAATAATACTGAAACTACTTTATGTCACTGAAACAATAACCCTAAAGCAGAATAACCAGAACATATTTTTTTTATTTAGTGTCATGAAAAACATAGGATGCAATAAATAAATAGCTGAATGAAATGCTTAAAGCTGCACTATGTAACTTTTTTTGTTAAGTGCCCTGCAACTGCTTGTCCCCATAGAAATGCTATTGCTTTGCCTAGAATGCTACACAATAGAGCAGACATGTCAAACTCAGGCCTGGGGTCCAAATTTGACCCGCAATATAATAATATTTGGCCCGCAAGATCATATCAAATATGTATTAGAGCTGCCCGCTGACTACAGATAGACTATAGAGACATTATTTAGTTAAAATTTTGTTATTACTTTATGTTATGTTTGTTCTGGATTCAATGTTTAAGCAAAACTATTATAAAACGTTTATTTTAATAAGAAAAGGTTTAACATTACATATCTCGAAAGAAGAGAAAACAAGCAGATATTGTTGAAAATTTTCAATAAATATTTAGTTTGGCCCACGACTTAGTCCCAGTTTTTAATTTTGGCCCTCTGTGGATTTGAGTTTGACACCCCTGCAATAGAGTATTCAACTTATCTATCTTTATGGAAACAGGGAGGTGACACCACTAGTCCAAGGTACAAATAAAGCAAATAAAACTATTAAATACACATGCAAAGACGTAATGCCACACTGTGGAACATACCAGGCAAATAAACAACAAATGCAGGTGGTCAACCGTCCACCCAAAAAGTTAGATCTTTAAGTGCTTGTCTTTAAGTAGCTTGTTCGTTGGTATCATTATGGAGTACATATCATACGTATTATTCAACTCTCCAGAGCTTCAATGTAAAAGAACCTTCTTTGGATCCAAAATTTGGTTCCAGCTTTCCATTTACTGAACCATAATTTGAACTGATGAGGTGATGATTGTGATAGGCCTACTCCAAACACCAAACGAATCACATCTGAAGTCCTGACTGATTTCTCATTGTATCTCATTTTATCTGATGTTACTCCTTTACTACTCAGTGAAATATATCCTGATGGACTCCCTGCGGACTACTCGGTCATCGCCACATTTAAAGTCCCCAAAGAAATGGCCAAAAAGTCATGGAGCCTGTGGCAGGTGAGCGACTCCAGAGGCAAAGACCAGGTGGGGCTTCGCTTCCACCCTGGGACAAGCTCGCTGGACTTCTTCTACACCAGCCCTCATGGAAGCCAGATGCTGCGTACGTTCTCTGGGGTGGAGAGGCTATTTGACGGAGCGTGGCATAAATTGGCTCTGAGTGTGAAGGGAGGCCAGGCCAAACTGCTCATAGACTGTGAAGAGGTCAGCGTTCAGCCCATAGAAGAAGACAGGCCCGTGACGCACAGGGGATATACGTCCATCGCAAAGCGTGCTGCTGAGGACCGCTCCGTGTCTGTATGTGAGCTTTAAAATGACTATCTTAAGGAATCTTCCCTACTTGAGTAAAAACAAGCAGAACTAAAAGTATATAAACAATGATTTCTTTACTGACACTAGTGCTGCACAATCCTGATGGTACTTCTATCACTGATACCACTGCATTTACACTAGTGACGGGTAATTCCAGTGATTTGGTTTTGTTACACTCTGATATGCATTGCGGTATCCCATATCCCATAACGATACCAAAGTGTATTGTATTAAAATTGCAGAAAATTCTCTACTATAAATAATTTTATGGTATATAGAAGTGTTATCTTTTGTTCACCACTTGAATTGAGAGATAAGATAAACTAAAATCAAAACAATGTATTTTAAAAAAAACTATATTAAAACCTGACAAAAAAATCTGCCATCTTTTAATAAAGTATCATTATTTTTACCTGAGAATGCATATGCTTTGATACCTTAGTCAGCACTGATATTTTCCAGATGTAGTTATTGATCTGCCCATAACAAATTTCCACTTTTCATACTATTACTGTTGTCTGCAGCCGTTATTGCCCAATAGTGATTTAAATGGATCCCATGTTAGCAAGTTGTGACCTTCTAATGTCTGGCATGCGTTGCAGGTGGACCTACAGCAGATGGAGGTGTCATGTGACCCAGAGAAGGCCTACACAGAGGGCTGCTGTGAGCTTGTGCGTGCACTAAGTACAGAACAACATTGTGTTTCATGCTTCGCTGCGTTTTGTTATAACAGTTGTTCTCATGTCAGTGTGGAGGTTACGCCGAGATCGGTTTGACAGCTGGAGGAGCATCGTGCAAATGTATGCACGGCCAACCAGGAATCCAGGGGCCTCCGGGGCCAAAGGTGAGTGTATTTTTATGCTAAAATATGGATGTATAGGCACGTGAGCAGAGGAGTTGGTTAGATT